ACTGCCAGGGGATTCCAGTTGCTTTGTTTTTTAAACAGAATTATTGATCACCTTGCTGATTATAGAAATAATGTTGAATAGTTTAGGAAATATAGAAAAATAGGAAGGGAAAACCCTCTAGTCATTACTTGCCAGAGGGGATAACTGTGGAAAACACTTTGGTGGCCAAGGCTTGGAAACTTTTTTTGTCTGTAAGCAAGTTGTATTTTATTTTTAAGACATAAAAGAGTTCATAACTATAATTTCTAAAACTTAATTTATTTGGGAAAATTTGGAAAAGATAAAAAGTATAAAGAAGAAAATAACTGACATGCAGTACACAGGAGTAAATCTCTTCTTACATTTTGGGATATTTGCATTCATCATTTTTGATGTACAGTCTTAGAGACCTCGTACATAAATTAAAAAAGTCAAATCACTGCAAATAAAGTCTCCTTTAACTGTTATTCCCAACCTCTCCACCTCCACTGTCAGTAAGAGTTTTTGTAAATCCTTTTTTGGCTGTTTAAAAATCTTTTGAGTGCTTTTATGTACATCATACCTAGACATACTTACATGTAAATAGAATTTTAAGTTTTTTCCTCCAGCTATATCTAGGGTGTTCTTTTTAACTTAGCTTATGTTTTCTATGTTTGTTGGGAAAAACAGCAATGATTCTTTACCAACTGAGCTTTCAGGGAAGCCCATATTTTCTTCTCTTGGTGTGAGTAAACTGTGTCACTGGAGCCTACTGTGTGTTTTGTCTGTTCTCAGCAACTTGAAGTTATGTTCTGGTCTCTCCTGTGGTTGGCACTTATCTGCTTTTTTACCTCTGCTGCACAGCCTGACAGTCAACAGTGAAACAATTATATTGTTGCTTAAGGGTCTAGTGAGAAGGAAATGGCAACCCACTCCAGTATTCTTGCCTGGAGAATCCCATTGGAGCCTGGTAGGCTACAGTCCACTGGGTCGAAAAGAGTCGGACACAACTGAGCGACTTCACTTTCACTTTCACAGTCTTTTAAGTTGTCGTATGGTGTTTCAGTCCATAAATTGCCACACTTTTATTTAGTTGTATTGATGGACAAACAGGTCATTTCCAATATTATATTATTACAAAGAGTACTTTAGTAAACACATGTGTAAATGCCTGAATACCTGTACAGGTGCTTTTCCAGTTAGCTTCCTAGAAGTGAAGTTTCAGGGGCATAAGTAACATGACATTTTAGGTCTACTGCAGACTTTCAAACCTACCGCTCCTGGTGGCAGTTTACCTTTACACGTCTGTGCATTGGTTTGTGCTTTTGTTCTTTTTTCTTTTTTTTGAGCAAGAGGAGTTAAAATACAGAGACCTAGTCATATGTCACCTATTTCCTTTGATTTTCTCAAGAAGTCCTTGGTTACCCTAGGATTCTTATTACTTTTTTAAATTTGTTTTTGAAGTTAAGTCTTTAGTTATAATTTTGTTTTTTTGTGTGAATCCCCTGTGAATACTGAAGGACAGCTGTATCTATCTATTTAGGAATGGAGTTGCAAGTATTAATAGTAACTGGATGTTTAGCTTAATGATGAGACTTTTCCAGTGTACCTACACGTTGCACAGTTTATATTCCCACCGGCAGTGTATGAGTGTTCCAGTATCTGTCTTCATATCCTTACCAGCATATATTGTTTTCTGACTTTTTGATTCTAGCCAGCCTAGTGGATGTGAGGTGGTGTTTTATTGTGGTGTTGATTTGTTTTTCTCTGATGACTATTGTTGTTGAGTATCCTTTGTGTTTTTCAGCCATCTTTATATTTTCTTTGGGGAAATGTCTGCTAAGATGCTTTGTCCAGTTTTAATTGTGTTGTCTTTTTATTAATTGGGTTGTAAGTTATTTATATTTTCTAGTGACAAGTCCCTTATGAGATAATGGTTTGCAGATTTTTTTCCCTCTCTGTGGATTGGCCTTTCACTTTCTTCATGTGCCCTTTGAAGCACAAGAATTTTAAATTTAGATGAAGTCCAATTTATCTATTTTTTCTTTTTTTGCATGTGGTATGCATTTGGTAGAATCTATTGACTAATCCATTGTCACAGAATATTGCACTTAGAGTTTATGATAAGAATATTATAGTTTTAGCATCTGATGTTTAGGTCTTTGATCTATTTTGAGTTAACTTTGATATACCATCTTATCCAACTTTATTCCATTCATGTAGATATATAGTTGTCCAAGTACCATTTATTGAGAAGACTGTTCTTACCCCATTTGAGTGGTCTTGGTACACTTGTTAAAAGTAAAGAGACCATAGATGTATGGGTTAGTTTTGGACTCTTAATTCTTTTTCATTGATCTATATGTCTGTCATTATGCCAGTACCACAGTGTCTTGATGCTTTTTTATAAAGTACGTGCTCAGTTGCTAAGTTGTGTCCATCTCTCTGTGACCCTCATGGACTGTAGCCTGCCAAGTTCCACTGTTCATGGGATTTTCGAGGCAAGAATACTGGAGTAAGTTGCTATTTCCTCCTGCAGGGGATCTTCCCAACCCGGGGATCAAACCCATGTCTCCTACGTCTCTTGCTTTGTCAGGCGGATTCTTCACCACTGAACCACTTGGGAAGCCTTTTTTTGTAAAGAAGGTAATGAAATTTGTCATGTGAATCTTCCAACTTACTCTCTTTATTTTTAGTGATTTGATTTTTTAAATAGATTATTCTCACTCAAAGTTATTATAAAATATTGCTGTAGTCCCTGTGCTGGGCAATATATCCTTGTAGCTTATTTTATATATCTCTTAATCCTCTACCTTTATCTTGGCCCTCCACCCCTCCCTCTCCCAGTTGATAACCACTAGTTTGTTCTGTTTCTGTTTTGTTACATTCATTTATTTCATTTTTTAGATTCTATATTATATTGTCATTTTCTCGAGCCCACATTTTTTAGATTCCATATTTAAGTGATAACATACAGAATTTTTTTTCTAATTTATTTCTCTAAGCATAATGCCCTCCAGGTCCAACCATGTTGCAAACAGCAAAATTTCATTATTTTTTATGGTTGAATAATAGTCTACATCTTCTTTATCCATTCATCTGTTAATAGACACTTAGATTGCTTCCATGCCTTGGCTATTTTTATAATGCTGTTATGAGGATTGGCGTGTATTTATCTTTTAACATTAGTGTTTTTGTTTTCTTTTTAAATTTTTATTTATTTATGGCTGNTTTTTATAATGCTGTTATGAGGATTGGCGTGTATTTATCTTTTAACATTAGTGTTTTTGTTTTCTTTTTAAATTTTTATTTATTTATGGCTGCGTTGGGTCTTCATTGCTACACACAGGCTTTCTCTAGTTGTGGTGAGTGGGGTCTGCTTTCTGGTTGCAGTGCTCAGATTTCTCATTTGCAGTGGCTTCTGTTGTTGCAGAACGTGGGCTCTAGGCTGTGCTGGCTTCAGTAGTTATAATACATGGGCTCGGTAGTTGTGGTACATGGGCTTAGTTGCCCTGAGGCATTTGGGATCTTCCCAGACCAGAGATGGAATCCGTGTCCTCTGCATCGGCAGGGCAGTTCTTAACCACTGGACTGCCAAGGAAGTTCCCAACTTAATCTTTTTCAAGACTGTGTTGTGTATTGTGTGGCTCTCTTGAGTTTCCATATGTTAGGATCAGCTTTTCAGTTTCTATAAAGAAGCCAGCTGGGATTTTGATAGGGATGTTTTGGAATCTATAGATTAATTTGGACAGTTCAGTTCAGTCGCCCAGCCGTGTCCGACTCTTTGAGACCCCATGGACTGCAGGCTTGCTTGTCCATCACCAACTCACGGAGCTTACTCAAACTCGAGTCCATTGAGTCGGTGATCCTGTCATCTTAATAGTGTTTTGTGTTCTGATCCATGAACACAGAATGTCTTTCCATTTATTTCAACCTTTAATTTCTTCTAACAATGTTTCATTGTTTTCAGAGTATAAGTTTTATTCTCTTGTTAAATTTATTCCTAAGTATTTTATTCTTTTTCATGTGATTGTAAATGGAATTGTTTTCTTAATTTTGTTTTTGGTTTGTTCATTTCTATTACGTAAAATTTTTTTTTCTTCCAGTTTTATTGGAACATAATTGACATACAGCACTGTATAAGTTTAATGTGGGCAACATAATGATTTGACAGAGGTACATCATGAAATGATTATTACAATAAGTTTAGTGCACATTCATAATCTCATTTAGATACAAAATTAAAGAAATAGAAAAGTTTTTTTCTTGTGATAAAAATTCTTAGGATTTTCATCTTCCTAGCAATTTTTATATATAATGTACAACAGGGTTAATTATATTTATCATGTTGTACATTATACCCCTAGTACTTATTTATCTCATAAGTGAAAGTTTGTACCTTTGATTGCCTTCATCCCGTTGTCCCCACCCCTGCCGCTGGTAACCACAAATATCCCTTTTCCTGGTGTGCATGATCTTGACAGGCTCCACTATGCAAATGTTCATAGGCCCTTTTCTCATAAATCCAAAGATGATCTAACAGCATCTGCTTGAGCCTGCCTTCTCACATCCTTCCTGAATGGTAACATCGATTATTTCAGTCTCTCGCCAGTGACTTCTGATGTCCCAGCAAATGGCATTATCTCCAGTGGTGCTGGAAAGATACTCCCAAGGGCCCAGCAGTGATAGCCACAACTAACGCAGACTTGGTAGCACTCTGCTGGGAAGACCTTGTCTTCCTAGCAATTTTTATATATAATGTACAACAGGGTTAATTATATTTATCATGTTGTACATTATACCCCTAGTACTTATTTATCTCATAAGTGAAAGTTTGTACCTTTGATTGCCTTCATCCCGTTGTCCCCACCCCTGCCGCTGGTAACCATAAATATCCCTTTTCCTGGTGTGCGTGATCTTGACAGTCTCCACTATGCAAATGTTCATAGGCCCTTTTCTCATAAATCCAAAGATGATCTAACAGCATCTGCTTGAGCCTTCCTTCTCACATCCTTCCTAAATGGTAACATCGATTATTTCAGTCTCTCGCCAGTGACTTCTGATGTCCCAGCAAATGGCATTATCTCCAGTGGTTCTGAAAAGATACTCCCAAGGGCCCAGCAGTGATAGCCACAACTAACGCAGACTTGGTAGCACTCTGCTGGGAAGACCTTGAACAGGAGTGATGCCTCCAGGCAGGTGGTACGCTGTCCATCCAGCTCAGGCCAAGGCTTCCAGGGAGCGGGGACGCCTTCAGATGGTAAAGAAGGAAGAAGAGGATGAAAGCTACACTTCAGTGCCGGCTGCCAGACCACAGACACTCAACCGTCCTGGCCAGGAGCTGTTCCGTCAGCTCTTCAGGCAGCTTCGCTACCACGAGTCTTCTGGGCCTCTGGAGACCCTGAGCCGGCTCCGGGAGCTGTGCCGCTGGTGGCTGAGGCCAGATGTTCTCTCAAAGGCCCAGATCCTAGAGCTGCTGGTGCTGGAGCAGTTCCTGAGCATCCTGCCAGAGGAGCTCCGGACCTGGGTGCAGCTGCATCACCCTGAGAGTGGTGGGGAGGCTGTGGCCTTGCTGGAAGAACTTCATAGGGACTTTGATGAGACACCATGGAGGGTGAGTGTGAGACAGTGTGCGGTGCCCAGTGAATTTTGTCTGCCAGTGAGTCCACTTGTGGGGGAAAGGGGTGGACCTCTGAACCCTCACGATGGAGGAGTTCACAGGAAGCCTTCCCTTCTCATTCCATGGCACATGAACAGAAAAGAACTAGACCCTAAGCCAAGGACCATTTAGCAGGCAGTTCTTCCTTTCTTTGCAGGGGAATGTAAGCTCCAGGAAGAAGAGGGTCTGCAAATATCCAAAAATAGCAGTAATGAGGTTTTGGACACATTGACTACACAAAGTGTATCTCCACATACCTAACCTGACTTGCTACCCATGTGTAAAGTGGAGGTTATCTCTTGCTCAGAAGTAGGAAAATTAGCATCAGGATCCTTGGTTTCTAAATACATATTGATGAGACCTAGAAGAGCCGTCTACACGTGTCATGTTATCTGTTTCTCAGTAAACTTTTGAAGACTTGTTCTGTGCGGGGGAGATGGGCTAGATGAGTGGTGAGGGGCAGCCTGGGGCTGGGAACATCCTTGAGGGCCTGCCCTGGGCCGGTCCTGGGCTTGGTGCTGGGAGGCAGAGCTGACAGTCCCGGGGCCGGCGGTGGAGCAGCAGGTCGGATCAAGTGCACCCCGAGTGCTCCTCTGCTCCACTCAGGCCGGCCTCTCGGTGCTTCTCCTACCTTTGAGGTTTTTGTGTTTTAAAAGAGTATTTTACCATTTTTGTAGGCTTTTAAAAATTTTTATATAAAGTGTGTAATTCTTCATATATGATTCATGCATAAATGAAAGTTATGTTTAAGATTTCTGAAACAAAAGTTTAAGACACTTTTCCCCTAAATGTAAAATAAAAGTTAGATCAATAAATCATCTGAACGTGGTCTCTGAACATGGTCTACCAGCAGTAAATGGTAACATGTTAAAAGAGAAAACCTCTTTGCTCAATATTGGGTACTATTTTTTAAAATCTAAAAGAACATTTATAATTTTTACCAAAAACAATGAGATGTTCAAAATGACCTAAAGATATCTTTTAAAGTGAATAAGGTACACAGTAGGTACAAAATTGTGGCTCGAGTATATTCAAATCAGTTACGACAAGGTATGTGGTTTAAAAATACATGAAAACATAGCCAAATGAGCAGAAAGGGGCTATCTGGTTGAAAGTTAGTTAGGAATTAGAAAACAGAAAACAGGCTGGTAAAAAGCCTACCAAATTCTAAAAAATGAGCAGAGATACTCAAGATGCATATAAAATTACAGAACCCCCCTGTAGTTTATCAGACTTACCAAAATGTGAGAAACTGGTGCCTGAGAAAGTTTGTCCTTAAAGTCGTTTTTCTGTGCTTCCCTGTTGTTGCTTTATTCTCCCTTTGGTGGGGTTTGGGAGGAACAGGAGATAAGCTGCTGTGGTGGCTGTATCATCTTGTCTGTAGCTGTGTCTTAGATATTTAATGGCCTCAGGCTAAGATCCATCCAAATCAGTACAGAGACCAGAAAAACCTGAAGTTCACTGACTGCAGCTTCCTGTGCGCACTTTAGTGTCAGGAGTAGCCTTACCTCCAGAGACCAGGACTTTTGAAGTCCCAGCACAAAGGCTCTGTCTCCAGGTCTCGGCTTGCTTGGGCACTGCCCTTTTTTTTTTGCTCCTGAGACCTTCTCTTCTGTGCTTCTGTAGCTGGCACTCACAGTTAGCATTGCTGCTCCAGTGGTATTATTCCTTCAGTTAGGTTTACAGTCTGGGAGTCTTGCTGCCTTTTTGAGGTCACTTGGCATAGTGTTACCTAGACCAGTGTCTGACACTTGGTAGATATTATCCGGCTGCATCTCTGCTGTGAACCATTATCAGTTTACCTCTCAGGGAGAAATCTCTTCTCTCATTTCCAAGTTCCAGGCCGGGGGTGGGGGCTGAGGGCTAGGGGGCAGGTATCACTAGCACCTGAGGCTGGAACAGCAGTATTGTCACTGACTGGCCAGGCGCTTTCCTATGTCGAGCGAGAATCTGGCTCTACCTATGTCTGCATGGCCCTTATTAGAGCCCAGGGAGGTGGAGGGGTGAGGGGGATCCTCCCTGGGTTTTCTGGTCCTCCTTTCTGTTCTGCCTGTAGGTTATAAAGGGCCCGGCTCACCGTTTCCTGGGCCTCTGCCTTTTAGAGATCAGCCGGGTGGCCTGTTCTCTGTGGGTGCTTTCTGATTCCTACAGGGATCCTCTCACAACATTTTCTTCTTGCCAGGACCCAGCCCCTGCCCAGAGCCCAGATGTGCATTGGATGGGCACAGGAGCCCTGCGAGCCGCACAGATATGGCCCCCTGCTTCACCTCTCAGGAGCGGCTCGGCTCTGGGGGACCACCTGCAGCCTCCCTATGAAATAGGAGTGCGTGACTTCCTGGCTGGGCAACCCGGTACTTGCTGCCCGGCTCTGAGATCCCAGCCTGTGCCACACTTCCCGAACCTCCTATGATATCGTCTTTCTACTCTCTGTCCTCTCACTAGAATCCCTTCTGTCCTGGCCTTGAGCTCCATGTCCTTTTTATCCTTCTGTGACCCACGTGTCCCTGACTTCTCCTCCCATTGCACCCCCTGCTTCCCTGACCCCAGCAGACATGGGGGAAATTTGAAATGGGTGTTTAAAACAGCCCATACCTGCTTGCGGGGCCCAGGAGTCCTCTATGTGGGGGGAAGAGTGGGCTTCTCACTGGGATGCTGGAACCAGGCTGTCCTTTCTCACAGCTCTTTCTTCTTCAGATCCTCCTGCTGCACAGGTGCCTGCCCTTTGCCTGAAGGAGGGATGCCCAGGCAACCAGGTGACAGCCCAGCCTCAGGTGAGCCACAGGACCTTTGAGCCTTCCTGCTATCCCACCGTTGCTACCTAATGGGGTAGCTGCAGCTCTCCCTTGTCCTGGCTCTTTCTGTCCAGTGACCCCACATCCCAGAGACCAGATTGTTCCCCTGGAGCCCAGAGCTCTTGTGCTGGGTGATTACCTTCCCTTTCACCTTGACCAGATCCATCCTGTACTCAGAGTCAGCCCCACTTCCCCACCCTAAAAGCTGGGAGCTGTGGAGTGATTCTCAGGCATCGGACTGTGTTTTTTCCAGGGGACTATGACTTTCAAGGATGTGGAGGTGACCTTCTCCCAGGATGAGTGGGGATTGCTGGACGCTTCTCAGAGGAACCTGTACAGGGATGTGATGCTAGAGAATTATGGAAACATGGCTTCTGTGGGTAAGGTGTCACTGTCGCCATCTTCCACCTGCCTTTACTTCTGCCTCCTTAGTTCTTATTGTGGTGCCAGGAGGGGGTCCTGACCTGGGTCTGTGTCCTGTCTGTCTCACTACTAACCAGATCACTTAATCCATTACTTCAGTCTTCTTTCTTAACAATGGGGATATAATGCTTGTCCTGCTGAGATACTATAAAAATTAAGAGTCATATATGTCAAGTTCCCGGTTTATTCAGGCATCAAAAAAAAGTTAGCTGAATTAACTGATTGAGTTGTCACTTGGTTCTGGAGAATCCTAGCAGTCCTTTTGTCTGTGGCTTAACTCGTCTCAAGCTGGTTTTGGAAAAGGCAGAGGAACCACAGATCAAATTGCCAACATCTGCTGGATCAGTGAAAAAACAAGAGAGTTCCAGAAAAACATCTATTTTTGCTTTCTTGACTATGCCAAAGCCTCTGACTGTGTGGATCACAATAAACTGTGGAAAATTCTGGAAGAGGTGGGAATACCAGACCACCTGACCTGCCTCTAGAGAAACCTATATGCAGGTCAAGAAGCAACAGTTAGAAGTGGACATGGAACAACAGACTGGTTCCAAATAGGAAAAGGAATACGTCAAGACTGTACATTGTCACCCTGCTTATTTAACTTACATGCAGGGTACATCATGAGAAATGCTGGACTGGAGGAAGCACAAGCTGGAATCAAGATTGCTGGGAGAAATATCAATAACCTCAGATATGCAGATGACACNCTGCCATTCATGGGTTCGCAAAGAGTCAGACACGACTGAGTTAACTGAACTGAACTCTCTTGTCTCTGTTCAGAACTGTCAGAAAGAAATCCCTGTCTGGGCATCCTGCCCTGACTTCCTCCACTGGCCTCCTGGGCTTCCTCTCCCCATCAGGAGCTCAGGCCTGAGAGGGTCCTGGAGAGTAGTTCTGCCTGATTCATCTACTGTCCAGTCACATCACCTTCTTTTCTCTTCTGCAGTGGGGCCATTCACCAAACCTGCTCTCATCTCCTGGTTGGAGGCAAGGGAGCCATGGGGCCTGAATGTCCAGGGAGTTCAGTTTAAGGGGAATCCAGGTGCTGCCCCAGCAGGTGAGTTACAGAGAAATGACCAGCTCTTGCTCCTTTCACATCTGCTCTTCTGTTTCTTAAGGTCTTTTACACTATAAAAATTATGGGAAACTCTGTTGGTTGCTAGAAGGAAGAGCCTTAGCAGTGTTGCTAATAAATGTTGAGTGCTTGGGCTTCTCCCTTCTAGAGTGGCCTCTTAGATGTTGGTTTTCGGCCTTACCCCTCGCGCAGCAGCCCTCTCAGGAGCAGCTCTTGCCCACGGGACAGCACCACTGTCCTCTTGTCCATTCACTGATGCTCCTCCTCAGCCCTGTACTGCTCTGCCCTTCCTGATCCTGGCAACCCTCATCCCACTTCTGCTGCTGTTCTTTGCTTGGTCCTTCCCCTGTGGTCAGCTTGCAGCCCTTGCAGCCAGCCCTCCTCAAGCCCTTCCTCTCAGCTCTTGAAGACCTTCATGTCATGTGTGCGTGTCGTGCTTCCTCTCCCCTCTCTTGCTGTTTAACATTCCCTTCTGAACCCTTTGGGTTTTCCCCTGGATTTGATCCCTGCATGTGGCCAGCTGGTATACCCATCTTGCTTCTTTCTGCTTTGCCCTTTATGTCATCTGGAATACCCCTCCATGTTTTGCCTTATCTCTGACTGTTTTTGTACAGCTATTGGCAGTCAGGCAAAAGCCTCACCACCTAAGTTCATGACATTTTTTGGTCCGTTGATCCTTTCGGTATTTCCAAGTATGGGAAGAGAGAACATTCTTTACTCCCACCCTCCCCCCCCTCCTTTTTTTTAAACCACACCTAGTGGCTTATGGGATCTCAGTCTCCTTACCAGGGATTGAACGTGGGCCATGGCAGTGAAAGCCTGGAATTCTAACCACTAGGCAACCAGGGCGCTCCCAAGAGTAGTACATTCTCTTATGTTTTATTTGTGTCAGGAGATGAGCTCCTTGTGAAAACAGACAAGTTCATCTTAAAGCCTGAACCTTTGGAAGAAGCAGTAACCTTAGCCATGCCATCAGGATGTCATGGTGCAGCAACTGTTTATGAGGGACCAGGGCTCAGAGAATCCGTTGTACAGAAGAGCAGGTTAAAGGAACGATGTGGAAACCCCACACAAGTGAGAGTTAAGAAGGAAGAGACTGATTCCAGCCATGGGGCAGGGAAAGACTGCGAAGATTTGGGAAGAAGTAATAGTCTTCATCTAAGACATATTACGTATTTGAGAGGACCCAGAAGAAAGCAGTCCCTTAAACACAGCTATGGCAAACACTTCAGGGGAAGTTCCTACCACTATGACTATAAGGAGTATGGGAAAGGGCTCAGACGCATGATGGGTGGGTTCAGCCTACATCAGAGAATTCATGCTGGACTGAAAGGCAAGGCCAAGGATGCACATGGGAAGGACTTCAGCCTTAGTTCCCATCACCAACACGGGCAGAATCTTCACGTGGTGGGGACACTGTATAAGTGCAGCGACTGTGGGAGGACCTTCAGTCGTAGCTCCCACCTTGTATGTCATCAGAGACTGCACACTCAAGAGAAGCCGTTTAAATGCAGGGCATGTGGGAAAGCCTTCAGGTGGAGCTCGAACCGGGTGCGACATGAAAAAATTCACACCAGACTGAAACCGTATAAGTGCAGTTTATGTGACAAAGCCTTCCGTCGTATGTCTGTCTACCGCCTGCACCAAGAAACCCATGCTAAGCAGAAATATCTTGAATCTACTCAGGATGAAGAAGCTCTGACCTGTGACTCAGATTTTGATCATCATTTGAGAGACCAAAGTGGGGAGAGACTCTTTGACTGCAGCCAATGTAGGAAATCCTTCCACTGTAAATCGTACATTCTTGAACATCAAAGGATTCACACCCAGGAGAAACCATACAAGTGTCCCAAATGCAGGAAAACATTCAGGTGGAGGTCCAACTTCACTCGTCACATGAGACTGCACCAGGAAGAGAAGTTCTATGACCTGGACAAATGTAGAGAAGAGTTGAGGCAGACCTCCAACTCCAGCCAGCCCCAGAGTGCCCCCACCATGGAAAAAGCTCTTGTGTGTCAGCAGTGTGGGAAAACTTTCATTCGAAAGAAGACTCTCATCAATCATCAGAGAATTCACACAGGCGAGAAGCCATACCGATGCCATGAATGCGCAGAAGAGTTTCCTCACAGGTCAGCCTACATTGTTCATAAGAGGCAGCATGCCGCTGAAAGAAAACCTGAGGACACACCCTCGTTTAGTCATGACAGAGCAGTCCAAGTTCCTCAGACCAATCCCACCACAGAGGAACCCTACAAATGCAGCCAGTGTGGCAAAGTCTTCCGCAATCATTCGTTCCTCCTCATCCATCAGAGAGTTCACACCAGAGAGAAGCCTTATAAGTGCAAAGAGTGTGGGAAATCTTTCAGATGGAGTTCTAACCTCTCCCGACATCAGAGGACTCACTCTTTGGGAAAACTGGATGAGTACTGTGAAAGTGAAGACGCTCTAAATCTTCAGTCACAAGTCCTCACTGGTGCAAAACCTTTTCGGTGCCAAGAATGTGGGAAAAACTTTACACGTAAAAGAAGTCTTTTAGATCATGAGGGAATACACAGTGGAGAGAAGCGCTATAAATGCAACCTGTGTGGGAAATCTTATGACAGAAATTATCGCCTTGTTAATCATCAGAGAATCCACACTAAAGAGAGACCGTTTAAATGTCAGTGCTGTGGGAAAGATTTCATTGGAAAACATACCCTCTCCATTCATCAGAGAAAACACATCAGAGCGGCCCAGTGTGAAAGTGGTGTGGCTGGGCTGTCTTCTCGCCAGGAGACAGGGGTGAAGTTACATGAATTAAAATCAGGTGAGGAGAATCCTCTTGGAGATGGTGAGAAAACTTGTGATCAGAGATCTGAACTCCCTGGACTCCAGGACATACCCACTCGGGGAAAGTGCCACAAATGTAGCACATGTGGGAAAACTTTTAGCAAGAGCTCACAACTCATCAGCCACAAGAGATTTCATACTCGGGAGAGGCCCTTCAAATGCAGAGAGTGTGGGAAGACCTTTAGGTGGTCTTCAAACTTGGCTCGGCATATGAAAAATCATATTAGAGATTAACTTGGGGTCTAACAGTTGGGGAGAGGAGGTCCTGGTTTCCCTACTGGAGAACCCCTGATGGTAGGGGATGTGGGGCAGACCTCACAGAGGGCCCAATCCTTTTTTAGAAGCTTGTGGCAGAGAATCCTGAGGATTAAAAAATGTAGGGCACCTCCATCCTGCTGGAAAATGAGATGCTGGGGAAGAGCCTCAGTGGGTTTCAGAAGGAGGTTTGGGCCCCTCGAAGTGGTCTTCGCACTGTGGCCTGGAATTTCCCCCCAGCCAGATTTTCTTCTGTAACTCTGAAGGGAGAGACCATTGCACTTTGTGGTGGTTCAACAGGATGTCTGTGGCATGGTAGGCTGTGGCTGCTGGGAACGGTCCAGTTGGATCCTTAGTTTGCCTTTGAGTGTGACTTATAATGGTGTCTAGTCTATTTGACCTGAAAAGCACCAGCAGCAGCAAGAACTAGTGTCTCCAGATACCTCCAGGGGAGTTCCGGCTGTGCCTTCAATCTTCACAGCTGACTTTGGGTATTTGCTGTGGGCATAACAGTTGTCTCAGCTGCAAGTGGAAGAGAACAGGGTCCTGGGCTTGATCATCTGGAGAATGAAGCTCTCTCATCGCCAGCTCCATCCCCCATGTTTGAATGGACAGCAGCAGTCCATCTGCTAAACAAATGCGTCAGGCATCTTCCATATCAGGCCCTGTTGTGTGGGCCATAGACCAGCAGGGGACTGGATCTTTACAGACAATAAGCAAATGAGATATATGTAATGTTTTGGGTGATGATACATGTTGTGGACAGAATGAATCAGCAGAGTGAGAGGGAATGCTGGGTTGGAAGGTGGATTGGGATTTTAAATAGGCTGGTCAGGGAGGGTGTCAACTGAGAAGGTCAGATTTGAACAAGGACCCGAAAGAGATTATGGAGGAAGCCACGTAGGTCCCTTGTTCCTACTCAGGAGCCTTCACAGGAGGTAGTCTCCTTAGGGAATGGCCCATAGGCCCCTGAACCAAAGTGAAGTGAGCCATCTGGAAGTGAGAAGCCCAGAAAGGTAGATGGCCAAGCCATGTGAGCATCATGGATCCTTGCTGGGCCTTGGCTTCCTCAGAGGGAACTTTTGGACAGTTTTGAGTTGAGGTTTATGGTCTGAATCTGAACCATTACAGAATGTAGTTCAGATTCAGAGTCTCACGTGTTGAGGGCCCAAGGTCATGGGAAGGACCTCAAAGTCATCAGGTATGTGTTCCTGGCTTGCTGTACCTTTTCTTGGCAGGATGATCTTGGGTGAATCACTGAACATTGGCATCTAAAATTAGAGTGGCCAACTCTGCTACTCAACTCTTGAGATTGGTGAAAAGGAGGCTTGACTTACTAAGATTCTGGGTTAGGAGTCTGATCTCTAGACCAGAGCTTCTCTGAGCTGCAGATCCCATGTCAGTTGACTCTACAAACACAGAAATACCCCTTTTCTGTCCATCTTTTCATCTCCCTACTCCTTGTGCCGCCTGGTACCTCATAGAATTCCTGCCCCAGTAGGGGTGTTTCTACTGCCATTTTTATAAAATGATAAATATTTATTTTTAAACATTCAAGTCAGATTTTTAAAAATGTAAAGAGTGAAGTAAAAGCCAACAGAAATCCCTCTGTACTGAGGTAAACCTTTAATATTTTGGGATTGTACTGATGCAGTCTGTTTGGTAACCTGAGTTTTAAAATAATTATGTAAGTAGTATATGATTATGATAGAAATATTAGTATGTACAGATTCACTAAAAGGAAAAGTCTGACTACTTGGAGCTAACTACTAAACATTTTGGCGTAGTCAGTGTTGGATTTAACTTCATTACTCTTCTCTGAACGCCCCTGGGCTGACCTGACTCGTGCTGTTTCCTTTCATGTGGAGTGCCACGCTCCTGTCTGATCTGGCCCAGGTCTTCACTCTTTCAGTCCCAGCCTTCCCTGACCCTGGTCCCACGTCTCCTCGTGCCTGCATGTTGCTTTGTTGGGTGTTGTCTGGGTTTCCAAGTTATTCCCATTATTGCAGCCAGATTGAGTACTCCAGAAGCCAGGTTTGGGTGTTTTTTTCTGGGCAGAGTAGATTTTGCACAAAGTCGCCTCTTTTAAGGAATGTAGAACTGAATTCATTGTTTTAGCTAAGTCAGGATTGGATCTTTTTGAAGGTGTTTGAGAGTGAAATGTTGACTGGAGACTGCCCACAAGTGTGCCTGCTACTTGGGAGCCCAGCCGCTGGTGTCTCCGAGCCAGAGGGGACCCAGTTGACTGCCGTGGCCAACTGTGCTCACCTCACACCCTGTCCTGGTCTGGAGAACATACCCCTTCTTCCAAACCTGCCACGTATTCTCCCACTCCCTTGGAGGAACTGAAATTAGGGCTCGTGGGAGCCAGATGGGCTGGGACTCCACAGAGGGGTGGATATCAGGAGATGTTTCAGGCAAGTGTTCAGTGTGGTTGGTCTCACCCTTGCTGAAAGAACTTGTCAGTCCAGACAGAGGTGAGTGTAGAGAAGAACATGCAGGAAATGTAAATGGATGTGGATCATCTTATACTCATGAAGTTGGCTAAACTTTAGAAGCCCTGGTGTGGGTAAGTGTGTGGTCCATGGGAACTCACTGCCGTGGAAATGAAAATTGTGACAACTTCTGTGCCAAGCAATATGTAAAATCTGGTAAAATTGTGTATATTCTGCCACCCAGAATTCTACTCCTGGATAAACCCTAAAGTAACTCCATTTGAAGAAGGAAATGTGTCTATGACTATTCATTGCAGTACTGTGTAGATAGCAAGATTAGGAGAAGCCTAAATTTCCATCAGCAGAACAGGTTTTTTTGATAAGTGAATGTGAAAGTAGCCAGAGGGGACCCAGTTGACTGCCGTGGCCAACTGTGCTCACCTCACACCCTGTCCTGGTCTGGAGAACATACCCCTTCTTCCAAACCTGCCACGTATTCTCCCACTCCCTTGGAGGAACTGAAATTAGGGCTCGTGGGAGCCAAATGGGCTGGGACTCCACAGAGGGGTGGATATCAGGAGATGTTTCAGGCAAGTGTTCAGTGTGGTTGGTCTCACCCTTGCTGAAAGAACCTGTCAGTCCAGACAGAGGTGAGTGTAGAGAAGAACATGCAGGAAATGTAAATGGATGTGGATCATCTTATACTCATGAAGTTGGCTAAACTTTAGAAGCCCTGGTGTGGGTAAGTGTGTGGTCCATGGGAACTCACTGCCGTGGAAATGAAAATTGTGACAACTTCTGTGCCAAGCAATATGTAAAATCTGGTAAAATTGTGTATATTCTGCCACCCAGAATTCTACTCCTGGATAAACCCTAAAGTAACTCCATTTGAAGAAGGAAATGTGTCTATGACTATTCATTGCAGTACTGTGTAGATAGCAAGATTAGGAGAAGCCTAAATTTCCATCAGCAGAACAGGTTTTTTTGATAAGTGAATGTGAAAGAACTAGAGTTACATCTTTCAACATAGATGAATCAAAAATGAGGCAGAGAAAGTTGCAGAAGCTACATATACCATTTATGTAAAGTTAAACATACTGTGTTATCTGTGGGCACATTATTTAAACTTACTCATGTTTCACTTTTTCTGTAAAATGAGATAGTAGTGCCAACCTCACAGGGTGATGGGGGAGGGGGACAGTTAATGAATTAATGCATGTAAACTGCTTAGAATAGTGGCAGGCATGTAAGCATTGTTGGCATAAGGTAACCAATGTTACTGTTTCACACAATAATATATTTCTTGTGATTCAAGTTATATGAAATGAAGAGTGTCAAATCCTGTGTTAGAATGATGTGTGAAAGCCATGCTCTGCCTTTCCAGAGCAGGAGTTGCTGATGGAATCAGGGAGGGTACATGGAGGTTTCAGTTGTGTTTTATTTCTTTTAAAATGTTGATGTAGTTGGGTCAGCATGTTGATTTAATGGGATATGTGATGGGTTCTTTTCTAACTGTGTGTTTAAAATATCTCAAAATAAAAGTATTTTTAAGCATGGGCTCTGCTATTTCATTATTTTTTAGAAATCCTGGCTCTGCCATTTATGTGGTGTTTCCTAGAGCAGGCCCTTCCTTCTCTCAAGGCTTCAGGTTCCTTGCCTGCAGAAATGGAGAGCAGCACAAATGGCTGTTAGTCCAGGAGTGGTTCAGCAGGTCTGAAACATCCACAGTGGTAAACCAGGCAGCCGCTGGAAAGAATGGGGATGTTCTCCATGTATTGACATGTAATCTTCAAGACCTGCAGTTTGAAAGGATATTATAAGCTATTTCTCCTTTAATTCCTCCTTGCTAAAAACAACAAGTGATGTCAGAAGCTGTAGCCTGGGATCCTGTGGATGGAAGATGGTTCGTCAACCATTGCTCTGTTTTAGGGTAGTGAGTAGGTTTATACACCAACCACCCTTCTTTTTAAGTTAATGCTAAGCCAGCTAAGAAGAGCAAAGAGGTTTTATATCAGCCAGGTTCTAGTCAGGAGCCAGAAACCATGTCAGTTACTTTAACAAAAAATTTGCAGAGAATTTTTCGCTAGATCTATCTAAGTAAAAAGGCAAAAAGAGAGAGCTAAGGTATCATGGAGGTAGTAACTGTGAGGAGGAGCTACCACCCACGACTGGAGGAGCTGAGATGGAATCTGGCCTCATTGTGGATGTTTGACCACTGACGGATTTCAAGCCCTGCCCACATTTTGCCTCACATCTGGACAAGCTGAAAAGAAATCCCAAGCACACCCTCTCAGCTTTCAAGATGACGTTTATGCAAACCCTGACCTTTTTAGTTGTACTGGAATCCTTAGCCCTAACCACAATAAAAACCAGAGCCACTCACCCCTCCTTTTACCAAGGCAAACCAGCTGGCTTTGGTACCTGTCCTGTTGTCCCCACAGACCCTCATTATGTGAATAATAAACTTTTTCATAACCTTTTGATATACTGTGATGTCATTAGTTTCAACATTGAACCAGGTTGAGATGGTGGTATCATATTGATTCTACCTCCACAGGGCAAGCTACAAAGCAGGAACCAAGAGGAGTGGTTTGAATTGTTAAAACATTAGGTAGACATTGCAAGTGGACCCCTGTGGAACTGAGTTCAGACCTATGAGAAGGAGAGCACAGCCAGACTCTACTGCTGCTACCAGAAGGAACTGCCCCAGAAGGAAGAAGCATTGGGAACAGAAAGCAGTGCCCACAAAAGGCAAGAAGGAACAAGTCTCCTCTTCCTCCTATGTTAGGATTCTCCAGAGAATCAGAATCAATAGGATGTGTGTGTGTGTGTGTGTGTGTGTGTGTATAAATAGAATAAAATTGGCTCACGTGGTCCAAAATTCGCTGAGTGTGCCAGCAGGTTGGAGATCCAGGAGAGCGCATATTCCAGTTCCGCCCAAAGGCTGTTTGCGGTAGAACCTGAAAGAGCTGATGTTGCGGGTGAAGTTGGTAGACAGACTGCTAGAGTATTCTCTGTTGCCTGGGAAGGCCAGTCTATTTTATTCCAGCATTCAACTGATTAAGAACAGGCCTGTCCACATTATGGAGAGTAATCTGCTTTACTCACACAGCCCACTGATTTAAATGTTAATTGCATCCCCAAAACACCCTAACGTAATAACATCTGACCAAATGTTTGTGGCCCGCACAAGCTGGCACACAAAATTAATCATCACGTCGTCCAGTATTGCAGCTTCTCTCTCATACTCATTGATTACAGAACCTAATGAAACCAGCAGGCAAAGCAGAGATGTGGATTGCAGAATTCCAATCCCATCATCACAAAGTATCTCTAGAAGGTCAGGTTTGAAGCAGAAAGATAATCTAATAAATGGTGCAACTTTCCTGAATTATTTTTAAAATTCCTAGGATATTTGACTTAAAATTTTGAGACGGATAATACTTGTTGAGGAAATTTTGTGTAAATTGTAGACAATTGGTCACTTAAAGGAGTGAATTATGTCATCAGTTGGTTTTACCCATTGACCTTGTAATGCTGTTGACTGACCTTATCTTGTTGTAATGAACTCAGTAAAAGTCTCAGGAAGAGTTTCTCAAAATTAAGAATATAGTTAAGAGTATTCTTCATGAACATTTATTTTACAAGGTTCAATAAATTAATAAATTTAATAAGGCAAATCTGTGACTTTAACTGGAGAAAGCAATGGCACCCCCACTCCAGTCCTCTTGCCTGGAAAATCCCATGGACGGCGGAGCCTGGTGGGCTGCAGTCCATGGGGTTGCTAAGAGTTGGACATGACAGAGGGACTTCCCTTTCACTTTTCACTTCCATGCATTGGAGAAGGAAATGGCAACCCACTCCAGTGTTCCTGCCTGGAGAATCCCAGGGATGGGGNCCAAGAGAAATATGCTTTTAGATTCATTCAGACATTTCCATGTAATAGTTGGACACATGAATCTTATTCATATAGAAGTATAAAGTTGTTGGGAAAATCCACAGGTTTTCCTTCTTCTTGGTCCATTTACAATTAATTATGTGTATACGTTTAAATTTTCTATCATCAGATCCACAGCTGAGAAGCTTGTTCTGTCAAGGTGCAGTTTAATGTGAACATAAGCAGGAACTTTTATGTCTTAAGGCTGATTCATGTGAATGTATGGCAAAAACCACCACAATATTGTAAAGTAATTAGCCTCCAATTAAATGTTTTTAAAAAAGTCATGTGAGGAAAAAAAAAGAAATAGAAGTTACATATAAGAAGGTCTAGCCTGTGCGCGGGAGTCCATGTGGGCGCCGGTGCAGCCAGGAACCACGCGGGCTGCCAGGGTGGAGCTGCAGCGGCGCTGGGTGCAGGAGGCAGTGGATTCCATGGTGAAGTGTCTAGAGAGGGAAAATACCCAAAAGATGCAGGGCTTCATGTTCCGGTGCAGCGCCGGCTGTTGCAAAGACAGCCAGGCGTCCGTGTAGCAAGTGTACCAGTGCATTGAGCACTTCCATGCATCTCTGGCTCAAGCCCAGGCCCTGGTGACCAGCGAGTTGGAGAAGTTCCAGGATCGCCTGGCCCTGTGCACTCGATGTATTGCAGTGACGAAGCCAAAGATTCAATAGATGTGGGGAGTAAGGAGCTTCAGGTGGAGCGGCGGCTGGAGACCTGCGTGACCAAGTGTGTGGATGACCACGTGAACCTTATCCCAACTTTGACCAGGAAGATGAAGGAGTCTCTCTCATCCATTGGGAAATAGCTGTCTGCTAGTGGCCATCCAGGGGTAAGGGCAGGAATCGATTTAAAAAGAGGAATGGGGATTTGGGTCTTTTAAGGAAAGTTGATGAATGAGGAAATTAAGGATGGCAGCAAGTCTAAGGCTTGTGTTTCTTTACTCTGAACGCTGGTTCCTTTGTGTTTCAATCCTACAAAGTGAAATGGAAAAAAACGGTGCTAAAATTTGGGTCACTGATAGCTCAGGAGGCTTTTTGTGAGCCTGAATTTCATGTGGCAAGTGCTTCTCTTGGCAACAGGGAGGCTCCCTTGTACCAAATCAGGGCCCTTCAAGGTACCAGATTCTCTTACTGCACAGATACCAAGAGGCTGGCAGGTTCATCTAACCTGCTTATGGTCTAGTGGAGTATAAGAAGAGGTGTTTCTATTTGTTGGCCACCTGCTGTTTACCAGAAGGATCACTACACCTTTTCCCACAAATAAATAAAACCCATGCAGTCACTAATTTAGAAAGGGACAAGGGGCTTCTAGGGATTTTGTTTTGCTTGGTTTTGTTTTATAGACAAGGGCATGATGTTAATTTAAGATGTAAAGTTGGGAGGGGAAGTTTGGATAAAAACTTTGAAAGAGCCTGCAGATACTCATTTCTGACCAAGATGTGGTTGTGTATTTCTTAAAATTTTCACACTGCATCTTTCAGCCTGGAGACCCTGCAAAAATATAAGAAGTGTTATCATACTGGTAAGGGAAGCAAGTGTTCCCTTTCATTGGCAGCCATGGTGAGCCCTGGGGCAGCCTGCAGCAAAGTCAGCCAAGCGACAAGACAATCCTACAGTGACACTCACCCTTGAAGGGAAACCGGATTTTGACAGTGTCATATGCTCATATTCAGGAATGAACAGTGAAACAGGAACTGTTGGCTGCTTAATTAAGAGGGTTGTGAAGTACAGGCTTTGGGAAAAAATCTGGTTTTCATGAAACAGAATGAAAGCCAAAACCCAGTGTTGCTTACTTTGCCCCCTGAAATAACAGAGCTTTACTGAGACACTTCCCTGGCAAGTCAAGGGAGGAAAAGTAAGCAATTTAAGGGTGAGCTTTAGCTCTTTTAGAGCAATAAAGGGACTGCCCTCCGTTACCAAATACCACTTTTGCCAGGGCCTTTGCTACATGCGTCATTCTTGCCCCAGTTCTGGCACCTTATTTTGATAAGGGCCTTATCTTTTTGCTGACTTATTACTTAATAATATTGTCTGTTTGCTGTTTCAAGACTGTGATATATTTTCCTAGTGGTTTGGCTTTAAAAATAAATAAGACTTAATTTTCTTCAAAAAAAAAGAAGAAAGTCTAATTGGAGTCCTGAGAGCAAGCTCGGTGGCTGCAATATCATCAGAAGGAGCTATCTCAGGTAAGTAGAAAGTCTTATTACTATGATTTTACCTGTATGAGTTGGATTGTAGAGGAATGTTCCAAGTGGTAAGCCTTGGTCGCCAGTGCTATAGTAATCCAGTGTCCAATAACAATTGGTGTTTTCCTGTCTTCAGATGTCTTGTTCACACACTACGAAGCTTCAGTCCTGGGATGACTTTTCACTTATCGTTGGTCACAGTAGTTGGAGTAATCATTCATTTGTTCATTCATTCATTCATGGGAACATTTTTTAAAAATGGAGTCAACATTGGTTTATAGCATGTCATGTGTTCAGCACTGTAATTCTACTTTTTTATACACTGCAGCGTGCTCACCACCAAAAGTCTAGTTTTGATCCACCATACAATTGATCCCTTTTACCCTTTTCACCCTTACCCTCTGATAACCACCAGCTTGTTCTTTGTATCTGTTTTTACTCTTGTTTTTTATATTTTGTGTATGAATAAAATTGTATTTTGTTTTTCTCCATCTGACTTATTTCACTTAGTGTAATACCCTTAAAGTCCATTCTGTCACAGATGACAAGATTTCATCTTTTTATGACTGAATAATATTTCCATTGTATATATACACCACATCTTTATCCTTTATCCATATCTTTATATATATATACAGCACATCCTTGTGGTGATGGGTACTTCAGTTGTTTCCGCATCTTGCTTATTGTATATGCTGTGGCAATGAACATAGGGTGCATTTTATCTTTTCAAAATTATATTTCCATATTCTTTTCCATACTTTTCTGCTCAGAAGCAGAAGAACTGGATCATATGGTAATTCTAATAATATACTGAGGAATTGCCATATTGTTTTCCATAGTGGCTGCACCAACTTACTTTCCCATGAACAATATATGATTGTTTCTTTCCTACATTCTCTCCAACACATTTCTTTTTCTTTTTGACTGCACCTCACAGTGTGCAGAACTTCCTGACCAGAGATCAAACCTGCACTCCTTGCAATAGAAGCAAAGAGTTTTAAGCATCTATTTTTCTGCCAATACCATGCTGTTTTGATTACTAGCCTTCTAGTAAAATCTGACATCAGCGACTGTGACACCTGCATCTTTGTTCTCTTTTCTCAGGACTGCTTTGGCTATCTGGATCTTCTATGGTTTCATACAGATTTTAGAATTTTTTAAATTCTACCTCTGTGAAAAATATTGGGATTTTGATAGGGATTGCACTGAATCTGTAGATTTCCTTAGGTAATATGGACATTTTAACAATGTTACTTCTTCCAAGCAATAAGCATGCATATTTTCCCATTTCTTTGTGTCTTCAATTTCTTTCAACAGTATCTTATAGTTTTCAGTTTTTTACTCCTTGGTTAAATTTATTTCTAGGGATATTTTATTGTTTTTTTTGTGATTGTAAATGAAATTGCTTTCTTAATGTGTCTTTTTGCTGGCTCATTGTTACTGTACAAAAATGCAGCAGGTTTTTACATATTAATTTGTACCTTGCAACTTTACTGTATTTTTAAAAACTGCTTTATTTATTTACTTATGGCTGCACTGGGTCTCTATTGCTGCACATAGCCTTTGTCTAGTTGTGGCGAGTGGGGGTTCTATTGTGGTATGTGGGCTTTGCAGTGTGGTGGCTTCCCTTGTTGCAGATCAGGGTCTCTAGAGCTAGCAGGCTTCAGTAGTTGTGGCGCGTGGGCTTCGTTGCCCCTCGGCATGTGGAGTCTTCCCAGACCAGGGATTGAACCCGTGTCTCTTGCATTGGCAGGTGGATTCTTAACCACTGGACTACCAGGGAAGGCCTTGTATTTGTTTATTTTTTTTAGTAGGTTTTTTTCGTGTGTAGTGGAGTCTTTAGCGTTTTCTATATACAAAATCATGGTATCAGCAAATAGTGAAAGTTTTACTTGTTTCTTTTCAAGTTGAGTGCCTTTTCCCTCTTTTCCTTGCCTAATTGCCCTGGCTAGGACTTCCAATGCCATGTTGAAAAGAATGGTGAGAGTAGGTCCTTGTCTTATTCCTGATCTTAGAGGGATAATTCTCAGTTTTTCACCATTGAATATGATATTTGATATTTGATGTGATTTTAGTTTTCTTAAGTTTACTGAATAACTTTTTGTGTCCTAACACATGGTCTATTCTTGAGAATGTTCCATGTGCACTTGAGAAGAATGTATTCTGCAGCTATTAGATGGAATGTTTTATATATAGTTTTAGGTGTATTTGGTTCCATGTTTCACTTAAGGCCAATGTTTCCTTGTTGATTTTCTGTCTGAAGTATCTATCCATTGATGTGAGTGAGGTGTATAAGTCCCTTACAAATACTGTATTGCTGTCAATTTCTCCTTTCCTGCCTTTAAACAATTATACTATTGTTTCATATTTTTTGGTGTTTCCATGTTATGTGCCTATATATTAATACATGTTGTGCCTTTTTGATGAATCATGCCTTTGATCATTATATTTGCTTCTCCTTAACCTTGTATGGTTTGAAGTCTATTTTCTCTGATGTGAGTACGGCCACACTTTTACCTTCGGCTGCCATTTGCTTGGAGTATGCAATCCTTTCACATTGAGCCTACATTTATCTCTAGAGCTGAGTTTCTTGGGAGCACCATATAATGGGATCTTGTTTTTCAATCCGTCTAGCCACCCTGTCTTTTGGTTGGTGAATTTAATTCACCTAAAATTTAGGATAATTACTGATATATGAAGACTGATGACTGCCATTTTATCTTTTGTTTTTTGGTTGCTTTATATTTCTGTTGTTTCTTCTCCCTTGTGTTTCTGTTTCCAACTCTCTCAAAGATTCCATATGCCATTGGTGTGGCAGAGACCACTAAATGTTCCCTGTGTTTTGGATTCCTTTCCTTTTCAATAGTAGAAGGCTTCGCTCTTTATAGGACCACTGAAATGAAAGACTCTAGGTCCCAGCCTTTTTTTTTTCAGTGTATATCTTCATCATTTTCCTAATCATATCTTTTTTTTTTTTGAGACAGAAAATACATAGGAGCACAAAGACTGACACACTGGGTGTTATTTTTTTAATTACCTAAAATAATTACATGTATATATAACGATTAAAAGAATTGAAGAAAGCCTCCAAAATTAGATTTTGAGAAAATTTTAAAGATCAAACCAGGTCATGATTTGTGTCAGGCTGGAGGCCTCTGAGGATCCTGTGTAGCATCCTGTGAGTAAGGCTAACAACCTGGAAGATGACTTTCTCGGGGCTGAAGGATGTCAGCTTCAGGGACAAATCATGGAGGTAGGAAAGCCCCTGCTCTGGGAGAGTGCCTTGTGGGGAGGGGAACGTAGCGGGCAGTGGCTGAGGAGGTGGTGTGGATGGCTTGCAGAGCGGAGGAGGCCCTGTATCTGGCAGCGATGGAGGTCTGTTGAGAGTAACAGGCCCCTGGTCAGCACCTGGAGAGTAGCCAGGGCTCTTTGGGCCACTTTTTCTTGGGGAGGCAGCAGCAGGGGCTGACGCTGGACCCCATGTCTGTGTAGGGACAATAGGTGGGCCTCTGGGACAGGGGGCAACCACATCCCCAGCCCCACATGCGGATGGGGGTTCACATGTCAGGTTCAGCAGACAAGCAGGAGACAGTGCCGGAGGGTCTGTCTTCCACGTGGGGTAGGTGACTTGTGCTGTGACTTCATTTACCCACATAAATGTGGGTAGAGGCCTGTTCTTTGACCCCACATGACTTCTAGACATCTACAGGAGGGGAGAGAAAACCTCGGTGAGTTCTCCATCAGTGGGCAATGGAGGGATCCACCCCTCACTCGGCAAGGAACCCCATGATCCCTGGGCTTCAATGAACTAACCCCATACCCTGTGGGAGTACAACTTTTAAGAAGCTTTTCCAGGAACAAGAAAGGTCTCCTAAACTGTCCAAAGTTCATTTTTAGGTTTGATCAGACCTTCAGTCCAATGTATCCAAGTCCACTCCTGGTCTAAATAAGTGACACCCTTGTTTGCCAAAGGCTGTTTCCTATGCATTTGTGAGTTCTATTTCTTTTAGGAGGTATGAAGTGACCATCCTCCCTGGTCACTGAAAGCCCTTACCTTCTAGGTTGGAGTAGGTTTCAAGATCTGAGCAGCTATTCAGCTGTTAGACGCTGGGTGGAAAAGGTGGGTCCAATTGAGGGGCAATGAGAAGACTTTGGGCCTGGGACTAGAATGCTACGTGAGTTCCAAGGCCATGTTCAGTGGGCTTGAGGGGAGGAGGACTTGAAAGGAGAGAACCAGGAGGAAGAGTTGCTGAAGTCTGGTCATCCCCTCCCTGCCCCACGGCCATCTCCTTTTATTCTCTGGCACAGCACCTGGCGTTTATGACATCAAGGTCTTCAGTCAGTCATAGGGCTCACCCTGTGCTGTCTCGTGGACCCGCCAAGGCAGTTTGTGGAGGAAAGCCCCTTTGCTACCAGTGTAAATGTACCTCTCTGCTTTTGCTGGTTAATGTGCCTGGGCACGGGCAATTGTTTTAGTCCTGTGAACTTACAATTTCTGGGAAATTTAATTTTGAGGAGCGGTCTTTATTTGTAAGGGTTAATTTATTTCTGCAATCTTTAAAAATATGAACATTTTGTAAATATGTCTTTTTGAAAAAAAAAAGAGAAAAAAAAAGAAAACTAGATCTATGCAAGGAAATTGTTAACAACAGGATTTAAGTGTATGCTGAAAGGACTGAGAATTAGCAGAATACTTTGGTGACAAAAAAGGAACCTCTACTAATGTAGTCATTTAAAAAGACTGTATTAGGGTTGTGCAGAGAAACGGAGCCGACATATGTGTGTGTGTGTGTGTGTGTGTAGAGAGAGTGTGTGTTATTATAAGGAACTGGCTTACATTATTATGAAAGCTGAGGAGTCCAGACCCAGGAGAGCTGCTACTGTAGTTCCAGCCTAAGTTGGAGGCCAAAGGCACAAGAAGACTGATGTTACAGGCTGAAGACAGTGGTGAGAGCTTTTTTTTTTCCTTCAGTTTCTTCAATGGATTGGATGAGGCCTACTTTCCACCAAGTTATAGAATGGAATATAATGGAAACATATTTAACTAATGAAACCAGTATAAGAAATATAGGAAGTTTGAATCATGAGAAATTTAATTTTGGTCTTAGACAAACCAAAATATTGTGTTAACATGTTTTTAAATGATAAATTAATGAAGACTGAATCATAGCAGATTTTCTTTTAAATTGATTTCTTATTATCTCATAATAGTTACAAAGGCTATTAGGTAAAATATACTTTTTTTTTCTCCCTAGATTACTGGTTTATTATAGGATATAACCCAGGAACAGCTAGATGGAAGAGACTCATGGGGTAGCATCCATGCCCCGTCTGAGTGACCAACGTGCCAGCATTTCCATGTGTCCCCCAGCCCGGAAACTCTCAAGTATACTTTCCAATGTCCATAAATAGAAATACTTTAGTAACATTTCTTTCCTTTTTCTTATTTAGACAATTTTGGCTTCATCCAACCTAAATGTTCATAGAGTATATATATAACATCCGAATGCATTTTTTTATAAGTAAATCCTTCACGTATTCAGGAGAGGGAAAAGAGATAAAGTGTGACAGGAAGAAATAAGAGGGAATTGACTTTAGACAGATAGCTAATTATTCTTCTCTGTAAGGAAAGAGGAAAAATTTAGACATGCACATACACAAAAAAGTCTGCTTCTGACATAATTTGGTCCTTGAAATTTTTTTCCCTCCTTCATAGGGCATGTGGGATCTTCATTTCCTGACCAGGGATCAAACCCATGCCCCAGATATTGGGAACTCAGCATCTTAACCACTGGACTGCCAGGAAGTCCCTGGTCCTTGAAAATTAAATTAGCCCAAAGATATCTGAAGCCGGCACTTATTAATTCCTGATGTATGGAAAGGAAGGAAGCGATGCGTCCTGCTTGAAACAAAATGATGTGTTGCTCCGGCAAACAAGCCACCATGGGGGTCAGGTCTAGTTCTCAGGGAGCTGAGGCCGCAGAGAGAGTTTGGGTCCAAGGGCGAGCCATGCCAAGCTGAGTAGGGAGTAGATCTGTGAGAAATTTCGAGCCTGGCATCCACTATGCTCAACATGAACTAACCCTGCCAGGGGAGGACACGCCCCCTTGTCTGTAGGCTTGTATCCCAGAGAAACCAGATGCTGCTTTGTGGAGCCATGCAGAGGAGCTGGCACAAGTTGGCAACTCGGGGAAAGGGAAGGGTGGGTGTCAGGGACACCTCTAGGTTGGGATCTCAGGTGCTGTGACAGAGGGGACCGGAGGAGGGCTGAGGTTGTGTGCATGGCTTTGCTGGAAAGAGTTGAGGTTACTAGGTAGAATCTGGGCTGGGATAGGGTGGGAAGCACTTTACACAATAATAAGGTTGCTAGGAGCCCTCAGTCTTCTACAGCCCATTCTCTCTGAAGCTCCCTCCATAGACCCCTTCCTCCAGCATCTTCTGACAGGTGAGCTTCAAATCCTTCACACCTTTTTAGTCCTCTAGCCCCTGGCCAGCCCCTACCGGTTCAAACCATTGTGCCCTTGCTACAAACACCCCTGATTCTGGGAATCCTGCCGAGTGTGCTGACTTCTCCATGGCCTTGTGGACCACTGGGGAAGGTGGAGAAACCCTCTCTGCCTGAGGGCAAATCAAAGCTTCACATAGGATGTAGGTGTCAGAATCTTGAAAGCTTGTTGACGTTCTAGGTAGTTTAACTTGATGTTTCTTAGGGGTGACAGTCCCTGTCCATTCTAATGAAAGTGAAGCAATTATCAATCTTGAGAGAAGGAAAGAGGAATCCCCAGACTGGCCAAGAGGCCCACACCAAGGCAGGCTTACCCTGAGCTCAGAAAGAATCAGCTTTGAAGCCTCCCTCTTGCAGTGTTCCCGGAAAAGTGTTCCCATGGTGTGTGAGTTTGTTGTCGCAGTAACAAATGACCACAAATTTAGCTGCTTCGAACAAGAGCCATTTACTATCTCACAGAGCCTGAGACTGGCAAGTGTTGCTTGTTTCTCTGCTTAAGGTCTCACAAGACTGCCATCAAGGTTTTTGTCTATCCTTGGCTCTTACCTGGAGACTCTGAGGAAAATCCACTTCTAGGCTCATTCATTTTGTTGACAGAGTTGATTTCCTTCTCATGGTCTTCACTCGGTCCTGCCGTCATCAAGCCAGCGATGGCAGTAGAATCCTTCTCACACTTAGTCTTCTACTTCTTCTGTTCTATCTCTCTGACCCCAGTGAGAAAAAGTTCTCTATGTTTCAGAGCCCAAGTGATTTGGTTGGGGCACCCAGGTGATACAGGATAGTATGCCCTAGAGTTAGGTCCATAATTTTAATTACATCTGCAAAGTTCCCTTGGCCAGATAATAAAACATATTCAGAGGTTCCGAAGATTAGGGCAAGGACATCTTTAGGGGGCCTTTCCATTGACTACACATGGTCATGTGTTTGTAAAATTTGTAAGAGTGATATTTTTTGGCGTCTTTGTAGAAGGTCCAGCATTCTCCATTTTCCTGTTAATCTAAGAGCATTTTTGAAGCTGTCATTCTTTAATCATTGTTGCTTCCTTTATAAAATGAGTTTCAGGAATGACAACGAGCATTTTCTTAAAGATTATGGGGGAACTCAGTTGCATAGAAAATATCAGAGACCATGGCACACAACCACTGACATTTCAGGAAACTGTTAGTATTCATTCACACACAAGCACATGCATTCACACAAACACACACACACACAAGTGTATCTGAACTAGATTAAGATGTAAAGTATACTTTAAAAAAAAGATTTATTTTTACTTATTTATTTTTGACTGCACTGGGTCTTCGTTGCTGTGGGCTTTCTCTAGTTGTGGTGACTGGGGGCTACTCTTCATTGCAGTGCATGTCTCATTGCTGTGACTTCTCTTGGTGCAGAGCACAAGCTCGGTAGTTGTGACTTGCAGGTTTAGTTGCCCCGCAGCATATGGGATCTTCCAGGACCAAGGATTCAAACTGTGTCCCCTGAATTGGCAGGTGGATTCTTAACCACTGGACCAGGAAAGCCCCTAAAGTATACTTTCTAGTATACTCCGTTAAAATGTTAAAATTTGAAAAGATAATTAAGAAACAAAAGAACCTAGGAAAGCCCCTGTGGTCCAGTGGTTAGGGCTCTGTGCTTTCATTGCTAGGCAGGAGTTCAATCCTTGGTCTGGGGATTAAGATCCCATAAGACCCACGGGTACTACCAAGAAAAAAAAAAAAGTTTCTAGAATTCATTGGAGCCGCCGGGTAGGTCTCTTCTTGGTCCTGGGAAGATTTCTGGAGCATCTTGGATGACAGAGGGCTAGCACAGGTTGTTCATAGAAGCGCAGTGGCCGATGGTTCCCTTTGATGCAGTAGGTGGAATCCTCCGTCCTCAGTGTGGAAGACTGAGGACGCTCCTGTGTTGTCTCCATTTTCTCCCTTGTAGCTATGTCAAAGAGTCGATTTGGACACGGGAAGAAAACCCTTGATACATTTTTCTGGATAAACGAGGTAACTGGAGAAATCACCTACCCCCAGAAGACAGACGCACGCTTAACGTCGCCAGCTCCTCTCCAGAAGCCGGAAGAGGGACCCAGATCTCAGCGCGGGGCCCTGCAGGGTGCTCCTCCCAGCACCCAGGACGCGGCCAGCACACTGGCGCAGAACGCCTCCCCTCCACCCGCTCCTAAAGCTGCCCTGAAAGACGTTGGCTCCCGAAACTCCTTCCCAGCTCCGCCGCCCTATCTCCCGGCCAAAGATGGAGCCCCGAGCCCTTTGCCGTTCTCTGCAGTTCCTGTCACCATCTCACCGCCAGGAGGCGCTCTGCCACCATTCAGCCCCCTTGGGCCAGCCCTTCTGCCTCAGGCCTCTGCCTTCCCTCCCAGCCCTTCTGCCCCCTGGGGCTTCACCTGCAAGCTGAAAAACATCCTTTCTGGAAATAACCGATTTTCCTTTTGAGCCTGAGCAAATACGCCTGCCCACGCCCTCTAAGCACCTTGCTGAACCATTGTCGCCTGGCACCAGTACGCCCAGACCGGCCTGCCTCCCCTAGAAGCACTCAGGACCCTTGGCAGAGTTCTTACAAGAATATGCCCGGTGCTTTCAGACCCCATATAAATTTAACTTAGATTTTGACACTTAATTTTTTTTTTTTTTAAGAACTCCCTTTACCTCTCAAGACATCTTGGTATTTTTAACTCTTTGGGATTCAAGAATTTGGTTCTGCTGTCAGCAGCAGGGTAATATGCCTAGTTCCCAGCCAGAGCCTGAAGGATCCTGGCCTTGGCTGAGATAGGAGCAAGCCGGGCTGAGTGGGACTCGAAGGCCTGGTGTCTTTGGGCACAATCTAGGGCCACCCCGGCTTCAGGGCTGCATTGAGGACCAGCCTGGGCTCTGATCAGGAAGGGGTTAGAACTGGATCTAGGTGGAGGTGGGGGGCAGCCTGGGACCAGGGATACTTTGGGCAGAGAGCCTCCCTCGTTGGAATAGGGGCTGGGCAATGCTCTGGTGGGACACTGGGCAGCCTCTTGGCCCTCCCAGTAGTGGAGTGACTCCTGCCTCCTGATGTGATCATGCTGGGCAGGAGGTGGCAAGTGGAGGCTCTGAAACACCTTATCCCAGCCTGAGGACTCCAGGAAACCCCAGTTCTCTGGACTGGAGAATAAAGGCCTGGAACCCAGCCTTGATCCTCTGGCCAATGTCCCTCTGACACTGGCAGAACCCCACCTCTCTTGCCCTCAGTTTCCCTCCTTGCGTGACGTCTGCAGGTCTGCTCAACTGCACAGTCTATGACTGTGTCCCCAGAAGCCAGGACTGGGTGAAGCCCCCAGGGCACGGAGGGCCTGGAGGTCAGGCCTCAGGTGGGGTCAGCTGGTGCCAAGGGCATGGCCGAGCGTGGCAGAGGGCAGGGGCCATGAGCTCCACAGGGTTGCGGGGGGGTTGACCAGTGTACACTCTCCAGGGTCCCTGATGGATGGCCCTGACAAAGACCTCGTTGTCATGGTTAGGGGTGCTGGCCTCTCAGGCAGAGTTGTGGCCAGGCCCCTAGTCCTGACTTTGCAGGAGCTCCTTAGCCTCGCTCTATCTAGCCCCCAAGAGTCCCAGCAAGTGTCCCAGGGAGCCCAGAGAAGTTCAAGCTCAGCCTGGGGCAGGGACCAGGGCTCCATCTACACCAGCAGAGTCCCCAGGGGAACAGTAACTGTTACACATCCTGTGGACAAACCACCCACAGCCCTTGGAGCATAGCATGGCTTGGTCTTTTGCCTCATGACCTGGCAGGGCCTCTTCTGCTGACCGTGTTCATGTGACAAAAGCTTGACAGAAATTTCCTGTCCAGGTTGGCCTGACTGTCCATAGGGTCTCCAATCTGGAAAGTTAGCCAGCAGTGAGTGTAACACTTATCCCCACACCTCTCCAAGCAAGTGGCTAACTGCAAGGGCCCTGCAGTTAACAAGACCACATACTTCACCCAAGGTCTGCACTATAGGCTAGTGTGTGTGCGGCACATGCACACACACGTTCGTTAGGGGACATGAAATGGGGGAAGGAGAAATAGAGATCTGTGGGTGGAGCAGTTCACTGGTGGTCCAGTGGTTAGGACTCCACACTTCCACAGCAGGGGGTACGTGTTCGATCTCTGGTCAGGAAACTGAGATTCAGCAACATGATAAAAAAAAAAAAAAAAGATCTGTGGGTGGTTCTCAAGTCAGAGTGGAGTGACAATCACACAGCTGTGAAGGCAGGGGCTTCTAGTTTCTATTTCCTTGTTACAGTGATCTGCTTTTCTACTGATGGCTTTTCTTAATTCCTTAATTCCATAGAGGAGGACCTCTATGACCTCCTTTTTCATCTCAGGGTCTCTGAGATCAGAGAGGTCTCTTTCATCATTTGTTCTTTCAGGGAAATTCTCTTGTTCTTTTAATCAGTTTGGTTCTTAATTTCTTCCTTTTCCTTACTTCTTGTCTCTCTTAATTTAGGAGCAACAATTATCTACTCTGGTCTTGAAGGGCTGTTTTTATGTGGGCCTGTCCATGCGTAGCCTGCATGAGTCTAATATTTTTGGTGTGGTGCTTTCTTTAGCATGTCTGCGGGTCGCATCTTTCCTCAGTGTGTGCTAGCCTTTATCCCCCGGATAGGAGGTGTGGTTGTGGTTGGTGGTACAATGACCGGAGCCTGCCCTGGGTGTAGAGTGGAGCCTCCTTTTTGCTCTGTGGTTGTCACGGCCCTGTTTGGGAGCAGGATCTGCCTCTTACTTGTTAGGATAGAAGCCTCCAGGTCTGGTTCTAAGCTGTGGTGTGAGGGAGGTGGGGCTGGGAGTCAGTGAGTGAGTCAGACTCTTTGCAACCCCATGGACTATAGCCCACCAGGCTCCTCTGACCATGGAATTTCCCAGGCAAGAATACTGGAGTGGGTTACCATTCCCTTCTCCAAGGATCTGTCTTCCTGACCCAGGGATTGAACCCCTGTCTCCTGCAGTGCAGGCAGACTCTTAAACCATCTGAGCCTACTGAGAGAGGAGCTTCGGAATATTCCTCTGCGGGATGTGTCCCCTGGGAAGGGTCTCCACAGTGTCGCCCATCACGCGTTGTGCGCGCTCACAAACTACACTGTTGTTGGCACTGCCCTCAGCCCTGCCTCATTCGTGGGACTGCCTGTTCTCACTCATGGCAACGCTGACAGTCGGCCCAGGTGTTTCTCAGGCACTGAGCTCGCCAAGCTGCAGGTGCAGAACCGCTCAAGTCTGGTACCGGACCTGCTGTGGGAGCAATGGAACAAGCCCAGACCCTGCCCGCCCCTTGGTTTCCCCCCCCTGAAAAGCCCGCTGTTGCTAGTGTGGGACGCGCCCCAGCATGGGAGCACCAGGAATGCACTCAGATGTCCCACAGCCGCCGCGCTGACAAACAGCCCCTGGGAACTGGCTCAGGTTTCAGGCCCGCCTGCACCTGTGGGCAGCCTGCCGGCTCGAGTGCTGCTGGCAGCACAGCGGAGTCCACTGTGCGCACACAGCGTGAGGCTGATACGGTGGGGACGCGCCCCTCTCTTCGCTCGTGTGTTAACAGTGAGGCTTCTGTGGCAGACTCGGGCTCTGTCCTGTGCACCCCGAACTGTGACCCAGACCACATTCTAGTGTCAGCAGGCAGCAAACCCCATCTGTCTGCTGATGCCAGAGTTCCTGCACTTCAACCCCCATGTGCACCAGTAGATGCGTGGCTTGGGTTGGGGAGTGCAGCGCGGTGGCCAGGACCGCCTGCTGATGGGTCTCTCTGTCCTGCCTGCCACAAGCCGGCTGTTCTGCCCTCCTCTGAGACTCCTTCGCAGTCCCAGCTGATCTCCCTGCCAGTGAAGGGGCTTCCCAGAGTGAGGGAACCTTTCCTCTCCCACACTTGCTCCCAGGGGTGCAAGTCCTGTCCTTGCTTCCCCTTCGTTCATCCTACTTGCCCTTTGAGGTGCAGATAAAGTGAGTTCCCAGGGTCGCCGTCTACATGGATGGTATCGCGCCCCTCTGTCACATCTTCTGACGCCTTCCTGCTGTTTGTCCTGCTCACCCGGAAACCCTGCCTTGTGCCAGCTGACACTTGGTCTAGGCCAGTGCCTGAGGTAGTGACAGAAAGAAAAACTGACCTCCTCCTGAAACCTGAGGGTGAAATCCAATGGCGGCCTCCTGCGTGGCCACGCCCTGTGCTGAGCCGGTTTCCCGGCATGGGCCGCCGTGCGGGACTTTGGGGCAGAGGTGTATAAACAGATGTTGCTTCCAGAACGACACTTGTACCCACTGGTGGGGACCAGGGCCGGGTAAAGTCAGCCCTGGCCCCCGCTGACCTGTGTGCACCGTTGTGGCCAGGCAAGACACGACTGACGCCAAGGCTGTCCACCCTCACAGGAGCAGCGTATTGCTGGACGTGTGGGGGTCCTGCCAACGCCTGGTGCTGACCTGGGGGTGGACGCTTCCAGAGCTGGGGGTGCTCCCGCCCGCGCGGACGCCTCACAGCCCTTGGGGTGCCTGGGTTCTAATTCCACCTCTCCTGCCTGCTGTAGACCGAAGGGCCTGGCGCCAAGTCTTCACCTTGTAGTTTTCCCGTATGAAACATGTCAGCTTAGAGAAAAAAGTCCTTAAAGTGCTCTGTAACGGGGAAGGGTTTGGAGTGACCAGTAGAACCAGGTTGCAGTAGCTGGGATGGAGGGGGGAAGAGGGTCCCCTGGTGTCAACTCAGGTCTGCTCTGTCTGGCCACTGGCAGCCCCACTTCCTCCTCCTCTTCCAACTGCTAAGGAGCAAGAGGCACCTGGGCTGGTGGCCAAGAACCATCCAAGGGCGGGCTTGACCCTTCCAGGGTCAGGATCACTCAGGGTGAGGAGGAGCTCCAAGAACATGCCCCGGGCCTCCTTTCACAGATGGGGAGCCTGATGCCAAGGGTTAGCAGTTTCCAAAGGTGAGCTGGCTCCTGAGGCAGACATGGTTCCTCTTGCCCAACTGTCCACGCCTCAAGGCCCACAGCCCCCTCGTGACTCAGGGAGGCTGCCTGGAGGAGGAGGATTTGAGGAGAGGAAGAAGTAGGGCCTCGGGAGACCTGTCCTGTGGACAGTCATGCCTCTGAATGAACACTTCCCTGATGGGCGGCCCGGGAAAAGGGTGCACCCCTGGGCGAGCTCAGGGCTCAGGTCCCTCTGGAGAGCTGAGGATTCAAGGTTAGAGGGGTCTGATCCTGTCCTAGCTTTCTGTGGTGGGATTGAATTTTCCAGAACTTTGTTAGATTGGGAGAAGAAGTCAAACAGGCATAAACAGGCAACAATTTTTTGGTAAGTTCATTTATGTTGAAATAGTTGTAAACCATTAATGAATAATGAGAAAGTGATGGTCTGGTTAATGTATTATTTATTATGTAACAGTTCTGAGACAAAGTGCAATTCAAAACATATTACTGAGGATTCTGTATTAGTTGATCTTAGAAATGGCATAATCCAAACTTATTTTTCCAATTTTTTTTTTTTTGGCCATGCAGTTTGCTAGATTTTAGCTCCCCAACCAGGGATCAAACCTGCACCCTCAGTGGTGAAAGCAGTCCGAACCACTGTACCACCACTGAAGTCCCTCCAGTAAATCTTGCGTAACCTCTGAAGAATGTTTCACTCCCATTATTTGGTTCTGGAAACCTTACACAGGCAGCAACATTTTTACATTAGAAAAAAAAAAGTACAGTTGTTAGGCACAGGTTAAAAGGGGTGGTATGCACGAACTATACTAAATACAAATCAATACTTATTCAAACACACATTTGTACTTTAACCGTTCAAATAATCAATTTTAGATAAATTTAAAACATGCTTCTAGAATCAATTTTAACATCTCTTTGCCTTTCTAATACTCTATGGAAAATTTCCTTTATTTCTTCAGCAGTAAGAGCCTCAAAAATGGGTGTTACAGACCTGGATTCACCTTGTCCTTTTGAGAAATAAGTGGAAGAGGTTTGGGATCTGGTAAAAAAATATTATCCTGAGGGAAATATCTGCAGAGGAGCCCTGTGTCTACAGAGCTCGGGGCTGGGTTATGGGTTCAGCGAAGTCCACACAACTGTGGACAGGAGGTGACTCGGTGTTTTAATCCGTGTTCTAATCACTGGAAGACCGGGGTTGAGAGGGGTGACAGATCCTGAGTGGTCTGAATCATTTTAAACTGGACCCTACTTGGTGGTACTCTTTGAGAAACAAGGATTTTTCTGGATAGTGTTTGTCCATGAAAACAAATCTATCACCTCATTCAATAATTCAAAAAATTTCACTGTCTCTTAGTTATAGGCCACTGACAGAGTATCTTAACGGGTAGGAAAACTTTTAACAAACTTTGTATTTTGTATTGGGGTATAGCTGATTAACAAACAATGTTGTGATAGTTTCAGGTGAACGGTGAAGGGACTCAGTCATACATATACATGTACCTATTGAAAACTTTAAATCCTCTGTCATTGGATGTGCTTTCACAAACGGCTGCAGATGGCTTGTGATAACGTCAATATCATATATTCATTCAATGGCTTTTTCCCATCTACTCTGTCTTTAGGCAAAATTTGGTTCATGAATTTGTGCTACCCATGTCACCTGTTTTGGACTCAGACGGTGCATAATTGGCTGCAAAGTACAGGTATGTGTACTGATACCATGTGATATAACCATAAAGTTGCATGTTGAATTGCTGCATGTGGAAATGAGTTCCAAGACTTCAGAGCTATACTGAATGAGGCCGGTTTATACTTACCAGTTTTCACTCACATAAAAAAAAAAAAAAGAAAAAATATATCTCTTTCACCCAGTAGAATCCTCCATTTTAATACCACTACAAATATGTTCTTTCTATCATCTTTTCTGCCAGTCCTGCCAATCAGATAAACACTATCTGGTGGGGCGGGGGGGCGAATAAGAAAGCATTGGCAGGTAAAACCTTTTAAAAACAAGTTTCCTAATAGAAATTAATTTAAAAAGTCTACTTCCAAAGCAGCAATTAGAAACTCTGTTCCTGTAACATGTAAATAATACTGTTATATCAAGTTGTGGATTTTAAATAAGTATAACAGTTTCTTTCCTCTTTAAAAAATAATATAGATTTCTGTGTTACTTAATGGCTTCCCCATTCTTCCAGTTCCAAGGAATACAAAGGTCTCCATCCTGCATGACAGAGTAGAAATGTGAGACACAGAGGTGCATCCCTTGTAGGTAAGGCAGCGATTGCTCCAGAAGTCTCTTACAGCAGCCCACCATCTGTATACTGGAAACGCTGGGCTCCTTGTAAAACTTTCCCAGAGAGAATTTCTTCGTGGAAGCCTGCATCAAATTGTCTTCAATGACCTTCAACCTGTTATGTCAAAAACAAAACATATGATAGATAAAAGCTATAACCAAATAAAACAACAATAAAATGTAAAAACCATTTTTTGTATATTGGGCTGTTAGTTTCTACTCTCAACACTGAAAATGGTCCTCCCACTTTTGTTTTTTTAAATATTTACTTATTTGACTGCACTGGGTCTCAGCTGTAGCATGTGGGATCTTGTTCCCCAACCCAGGGATCGAACCTGGGCCCCCTGCATTGAGGGCACACAGTCTCAGCCAGTGGGCCACCAGGAAATTCCCATTTCTTAGAAAAAATTTTTGGAGTATACTTGATTTACAACGTTGTGTTTGCAGTAGCTATAGGGCAACTAAACTGAGTTGTACATACACTTGTATCTACTCTTTTTTGGATTATTTCCCCATATAGCTTATGACAAAGAGTGTTGAGTATTTTGCTCCACATTAGGTCCTTGTTGATTATATAAATTAGTGTGTATATCTTAATCCTAACCACCTAATTTATCCTCTCCCTTACCTTTCCCCTTTTACCATAACTTAATATTCTAGGTCTATGAGTCTGTTTTGTAAATTAGTTTTTATTATCAATTTTTAGATTCCACCTGTAAGTGACAGCCTATGATACTTGTCTTTGTCTGACTTACTTCACTTTCTCTGATCATCTCTAGGTCATCCATGTTGCTTCAGATGGCATTATTTCATTGTCTTTTATGCCTGAGTAATATTCCACTGCTACATGTACTGCATCTTTACCCATTCCTCTATTGATGGGACATTTTGGTGGCTTCCCATGTTTTGGCTATTGTAGACAGTGCTGCAATGAACGCTGGGGTGCATTCCTTCCTTTTCAAAGGACGGTTTTCTCTGGATACATAGGTTTCTTCTGGGTGATTCCAGGAGTGGCATTGCTGGATCATATGCTAGCTCTAGTTTTACTTTTCAAAGAACCTCCATACTGTTCTCCACAGCGGTTGTTACCAATTTCCATTCCCACCCATGGTGGAGGTTTCCTTTTACTCCACATTCTCTCCAGCATTTATGGTTTGTAGATTTTTTGATGATGGCCATTCTGACAGGTGCAAGGAGATACCTTATTGTAGTTTTGAGTTGCTTTTCTCTAGTATTTCATGATGTTCAGCATCTTTTCATGTACTTTTTTTCTTAAACAGTTTGAGATTGGCTTCTTGAAAGTCTGCCCTGTTTTGACATCTCTTTCAACTACCTAGTGCAAGGACATTTCTTGAAGGCAGGTGTCATTTACAGCCCTGCAGGCCTTGTGAATATTAAGTGTCCATCAGCTCTGGTTGGGAGCTGTTGTTACGAGAAGTGGCCATACAAGGAAGCAGCATTTTTTCATGCCCAATTCTGCTTCCCTGGGCAACCAGAGCCCTAGAAGTTGTGTTCCTAGGTTCTAAATTGGAGTGGAAAGTGCCTGAACCAACACGGAAGGGCTTGTGTCCCATTACATTTTTCCCCTTACCTATCACCCTCCAAACAAATCTTAACCCCAGCAAATCGCTGATGCTGAGGCTGCTGTCATGTAGGTGGAGCAACTCTATGGAAGGAGCTTGGAAGTGGAAACCCCAGCACCAGGCGACATGGAGACAGGGTGACTTTGCAAAGCTCCTCCAGCACAGAGCCGTCCAGCATTTGTGGGTGACAGGAGGCTTCGTGTGGGTGGAGGAGGGCCAGCCTGGATCTGAAGATTGAGGTCCCACGCACAGAAGACTAGGCCCTCCAGATCCTGGGAAGGGCTTATTTACTTACACGTCCTCCCACCTCCCTCAGCCAGGAGACAGTCTACCCTTGGGACCCGTGCCTGCTCAGGTCCCTCAGATGTGACACCAGCATAGCCCATCAGGATAGAGGGGTTGAGAATAGGCATTTGTATTTTCTCTTATCATGGAATTCATATTTTCTACTGGGGTATAGTTTATTTACACTATACATTATGTGTTTCTTTTCTGTCACACAAGGTTTTACACACACATACACCTTATTCTTTTTTGGGTTCTTTTCCCATACAGGTTGTTACTGAGTGTTGAACAGAGTTCCCAGGGCTGCACAGTAGGTGTGTCTGTTTTATATGTATACTAATGTATATGTTAACTCCAGCCTCCTAACTTATCCCTCCACCCCACCTTTCTGAATACCTGAATATTTTTAAATATTTGACTAGATTAGAATGGTAAGACAGGAAGAGGGCTAAGAGTACTCACTCTTCTTTTCTCTTTGTGTTCTCTCTTGCCTGTTGGGCTTTGGTGAGAATAAACCACTGGAGGTTTGCTGGATCACAAAGGATTGGGATGTTAAAATGCCCGAGTTCATGCAAGCTTGGGGCATATCTGTCACTGTAATAAAGTATACATAAAAGGAAAAATCAGCCATCTCTCCATTCCCTGTTCCATCCCTGAAGGAATGGTTTTATTAGTCTGATTAATGGAAAAGGAATTCATTAAGAAAATCCACTTTAAAGGTACAGCACCCCAAAGAGACACATTTTATCAGGATGACCATATCCTTCCTGTGACCTTCCTCATCTGTAAGATGGGGGCAGAAACCTACTCTATGGTGAGGTTCTGAGAGCTAAAGAGAGAGAATGCATTTAAGTTCCAAGCACAGTGCCTGAAATGCACACTGTTGATTTCACATTAGTTTAATCCTATAGAGTTTTCCACAGGACTGATTTGCCCTGTAAGTGGCAATGAATTTCCAGAATGTTTGAGAAACTCAATCTTTCTAATCCTCTCATGTTGACTTCTCTCATGTGTAAAAAGTGTTGCCAATGGAGGCAGTAACATTCCTTTCTTTAACTTCTAAGAATCACACAGGGAAATACAAAACAATTTCATGCAATACATATACAACTGGTGTGAGTAAATGAATCAAAGTAATTGTTTTAGATACAAACCTGTTAAGGATCATTTGTAACCCACGCAGACTTCGAGGGTGAAAAGGTATTCGACTTTTCAAGAGTCTATTATAGAACACGTCAAGAAGAGAGTAATATTCTTCAAGTGTCAACACTGGCTGTAATTCTTCAATATAAACAACTTGGATGCCACCGAGAAGATAGCTTATTTGGTCCTCCAAATGTGTCAGCCTCCTCTGCAGGTCAAAATAACTTGGTAATCTTTCAAAAAGCTACAGTATTTAAAAAAGGAAAAGGAAGGAATATTTAGTTTTGTTACTTTAAGAGTCCAAATTTAGGACTCCAATCAATGGTATGAGAAATTCTAACAAGAAAATCTTTTTCCTTTAGGGAAAGTTCAAGTAAGTGATAAGAAAAAGACTATGGAATGCTGGAAATATTAATATTCAAAACAAACCACTGTAAATCTTAGAGACTTTTAGATAGGAACTGAAGGGACTGCAAAAGAAAAGAAATATGTTTCAAATAAAAATAAATCCTAAGTACTAATATGCAAATATTCAAGTAGAAATCTTAGTTTAGACAAATTAAATGGTATAATGAATGTATAATGAAATAAATTCTATGTATTTCAACTCCAAGTCTGTTTCTTCAGAATTTACTTTAGTTCAACTAAATTCACTTATGAAGCATCTGTAAGTGAACTAAAGCACCAAAATGGGCCCTTGGAGTGTACAGATTAAGAGTTTGTGCCCCTGTTTGCCAGGGGCTCATGGTCAGGGTGCAGGGAAACAAAACAGGAACCAGAATTCAGCATAACAAATGCCACATTAGGGTGAAGGGACAGGGAGAGTCAAGAAAAGGTTCCTAAGGACATCTGATGTGACCAATAAAAGATAAAGAGGATTTAGAGAAGGTTAGATGTGTTGCTAATTACTGGAGAAATGCAAATCCTCACTATTAGAATGAGACACCACCTCACACCGGCCAGAATGGCCGCCATCAGAAAGTCTACAAATAACAAGTGCTGGAGAGGGTGTGCAGAAAAGGGAACCCTCCTACACTGTTGGTGGGAATGTAACTTGGTGCAGCCACTATGGAAAACATTATGGAAATTCCTTCAAAAACTATAAAAAAGATACATGTACCCCAGTGTTCATAGCAGCACTACTTATGACAGACAAGATATAGAAACAACCTAAATGTCTATACTGACAGATGAATGAATGAAGAAGATGTGGTGTATACACACACACACACACACACACACACACACACACTGGGATATTATTTGGCCACAGTAAAGAATGAAATAATGCCATTGGCAGCAACAGGGATGGAGCTAGAGATGATTATGCTAAGTGAAGTAAGTCGGACAAATACCATATGGTATCACTTATATGTGGGATCAATAATATGATGGAAATAAACTTATTTATGAAGTAGAAACAGACTCAGACATAGAAGACAAACAAGAGTTTGTCTAAGGAAAAGGAGGTACGGGAGGATACATTAGCAGTTTGGCGTTAGTATGATAAACTGCTACGTAAAATATCAACAAAGTCCTGTTTGGCACAGGGAACTATATTCAGTATCCTGTAATAAACCACAATGAGAAAGAATATGAAAAAGAATACATATATGTATATATAACTGAACCACTTTCCTGTAAGCCAGAAACTAACACAATGTTGTAAATCAACTGTATTTCAATTAAAAAAAAAAAAGAGCAGAGAAGGTCAGTTGCATGTGAGACACTTTCAGGAGAAGAAAAAAGCATGTGCAAACTCAGAAGCATCACAAGGATCCCCTCTGCTACACTTCCATAGCCACCAACACCTCTGCGCCCCCCAACTCCTGATCCCTGGCCACCACTGATCTGTTCTTTAATTTTACTATTTGAACAATGTTATATAAATGGTATCATATAGCATGTAATCTTGTGAGATGGACTTTTTTCATATCGCACAATGCCCCTGAGATCCACCCAAGATCTTGACTGTATCAGCAGTTCATTCCTTATTGCTGAATGACATTCTGTTGCATGGATGTGCTGCAGTTTGTGTTTGCTATCATAAACATTTATGTACAGTTTTTGTGTGAATATACCTTTTCATTTCTCTAGTATAAATGCCTAAGAGGAAGAGGGCAGCTGCCAAACCACATGGTAAGCATGTGTTTATTAGTATTTTAAGAAACTGCCGGACTCGTTTCCAGAGTGCCCGTGCCATTTCACATGCTCAACAGGAATGGACGAGGGGTCCAGTTTCTCTGCATCCTTGCCAGCATGTGGTGGTCATTATTTTTCATTTTGGCCATTCTGACAGGTGTGCAGTGGTATCTCATTGTAGTTTTAATTTGCTTTTCTCTATGGTTTTTTATGAGCTTATTTGTCATCTGTATGTCCTCTTCTGTGACATGTGTGTTCATGTCTTCAGCCCATTTTCTAACTGAACTATTTTTTTTTTTAATCTATTGAGTTTTGAGAGTTCTTTATATATTTAGATACAAAGGGTTAGGGTTAGACTTTGTCAGATAGGTGGTTTGTAAATATCTTCTATCAGATATTTGATATGAACAGATATTTCACAGAAGACATATGGATGGCAAATACATACATGAAAAGGTGCTCACTGCCATTCATCATTAGAGAAATGTAAAAACCCACAATGAAATAAAACCACACACCTCTTAGAATGGCTAAAAATAAAAAGATGACCATAGCAGGGACTTCCCTGGTGGTCCAGTTACTGGGACTCCATGCTTCTAATGTAGGGGGCATGGGTTCGATCCCTGGTCAGAGAACTAAGATCCTACGTGTCATGCAGTGAGATTTAAATAAATAAATAAAAGGGTCACCAAAGGAAGTATTGGCAGTTACTTGAAAAGTTAAAATACCCTAACACATCTGGCCATTCCACTTTCAGGTATTTACCCAGAAGAAAAGGAAGTATATGTTCATTTAAACTTTGTAGGTAAATGTTTATAGCAGCTTTATTTTTAAGTGATCAAAAGCTGACATAACCCAATATCCATCAATAAGTGAATGGAAAAAAAAATTGGTATATATCCACAGGACAGAATACTTCGGGGAAATAAAATAAATAATTCTTGATACATGCAATAGCATGAATGAATTTCAAAATAATTATGCCGACTGAAAGAAATCAGATCCTTCCCAACATACTGTGATTCTACTCAGATACAAGGCTAGAAATATAAACTAATCTACAGTGACAGAAAGCAGACCAGTGGCTGCTTTGGGAGGGGGTGGTGGGATGGACAAGAGGGTTTACACAGGGACATGCACATAATTTTGTGGGTAATGGATGTGTTCACTCTCTTGATTATAGTAACGGTTTCACAGGTATTTACATATGTCATATCTCATCAAACTATACCCACCAAATATGCACAGTCTATTGTGTCAATTACACACAGTACATCCATTAAAAAGAAAACCAAAAAACCCAATAGAATGCAGGCCTTTAGGCTGTGCTTTAGAAAAGACTGTAAAATTTTCCAAATAAAAATGGACTTAAAAATCAGTCATCTAAGAATTTAAACTACTAAATATAAAGCATCTGCTCTGCAAACAGCTGAAACTATGATTTAAAGTTTTTTTTAGTTTGCTGATATTAGCAGTTTTCTGAAACAAAAGTATGTGGAAGACAAATCTTTTTTTTTTGTTTTGCTTTTAAGCTTTTTCTTACTTTTGTCCAGTGGTGATGGACATCCATTGTTCCTAGCATCACATGGCCCACTGCACTCATCCCGGACCGGTCTGTAAATATTATTGTACATCCTGATGATAAAACACAAACCCTTTGGTCACTGTCCAGAGAGGCTTCATTTTTTTAGCACTGTGCAAATAATTACTTACATTTCATGTATCAATTCAGGAGTAAACTTGGTAGAAGTTATTGTTTCATTCAAAGGAACAGACTTAACAATTCAGCTGAGATCAAGTCACATCTACAAAGACTTTCAACAGTTTTCCTCTAGAATTTACAGATTTGTATAGCTGTTAAGGGATATGGATTTCAGAAGTGAATGGAAAGTGTTTACCTTTTGCATTTTTAAGGGTTTCCAAGTTCTGCTGGGCTAAGCGGCCTAAACTGTGTAGCTGGCTGCAGCGGTGGGCGACACCCCAGCTCCTCTGCCACCTGGTCCAACAGAGCACACAGGCCCGTTACCACCCGTGTCCCCCCAGAGGGAGGCGCATACTCACCCCCACCTGCCTGACTCCTGGAAAGCTCCAAGTGTAAACACTTTCCTTATAAATCTGAATTATCTTCAACAATTATGATTCAAATACAGAAGAATGTATAAGTACTATGTGATTCTGCAAGCACAGCATAAAGGTGCTATGGCAACCCACTCCAGTATCCTTGCCTGGAGAATCCCACGGATGGAGGAGCCTGGTAGGCTACAGTCCACGGGGTCGCAAAGAGTCGGACATGACTGAGTGACTTCACTTTCACTGTATCCAAATAGTCATGTGGTTCAGTATAAGAAAACAGTCCTCATGATGACAGTTGAAAGCAAAACAGGCTGCAGCAAAACGGTCACAGAAGTTTAAGCACCAGGCCAGATGACAATACCTCAGGGAGGCCCATGAATGAATCACATCACCCACTCCTTAGGGCTGCAGCTGTTAAATCTATTTTATCATAAACTTCAGCAAATGATTTCTAAGTTTATGAAAACTTTTAAAAAAGTCATATGGTGATTACAGTTAATAATAATACTGTATTGTATTTTGAAAGTTGCTTAAAGAGTAGATCTTAAAAGTTCTCATCACAAGAAAAAAATTTTCCTAGCTATGTATGATGACAGATGTCAATAACGAATATGAGTAATGAATTATTAGGTAAAACACATGGAACTAGTATAACGCTATATATCAACTATATCTCAATTAAAAAAATTTTTAAAAGTCATGCTATATAACATAGAACCAAAGAATACAACTTTTTTTTTCTTTCCCTTTCTCTTTTTTCTTTAGTTGTTTAGTCAGGTGTGTCCAACTCTTTGTGACCCTATACACTGTAGCCCGCCAGGCCCCTCTGTCCATGGAATTCTCCAGGCGAAAATACTGAAGTGGGTTGCCATTTCCTTCTCCAGGGGATCTCCCCTCCCCAGGGATCGAACCTGCATCTCCTGTGTCTCCTGCATTGCAGGTGGATTCCTTACCTACTGAGCCATCAAGGAAGTCCTCCTTTTCTCTTTTTAAACTCAAATACCAATCTTATATGAGGGAGAAATACTGATTTTTATTTATTATATGCATATGGAAAAGTGTATTTTTCTTATAAATCCAGTATGTTATTATGCTAAAAATGTCAGTATCTAAACCTTACTCCACTTTTTCAATTAGAAATTCATAATGGTTTTCTTAGATAAACATTTGATGAGTTTCATAAAGATAATTGAGTATTTAGTGAACAGAATAATTAAAGATGCAAATATTTAACTGTTAGAAACCTTTACCAATAGGTAACACACACTTATTTTAATCTATAAATCAGGTTTTCTCTTCTTCATTACCTGATATCTGACAGCTGCAACTGATGAGACAGTTCATCTTTTAAACGATCTAGTTCTTTTCTAAGTGGCAAACTATTCTTCAGCTTTTTAATAGCACTTTTCCCATTGTTATCTAACCAGGAACTAGAAAGAAAAAAAAAACACAGATGTACACTTAGAATACTAACTATAATGCAAACATTTCTACTATTGAAACACGTATTCATTACCTTAAAGCAGCCCCAATGTTAAACCGAGTTTCCTATCAAACCTTTACCAAGTTATAAGTAGTCCTGCCAAGTCTACTTTTAGAGTAAACTCCTACTTCTAAAACAGGCTTCTTGGAGAACTGCCAGTACCTGTTAATCATATTTTAGTTATGAGAACTTCCTTAGCCTATCAAAAAAATTAAACTTGCATTACACCAAGCTTTTTACTACACTTCCAGAGATGGAGTGATTTTTTAAAAATCAAAGATGCTTCAAGGACATCTCTGGTGGTCTAGGGGTTAAGACTCCATGCTTCCAAAGCAGGGGGTGCAGGTTTGACCCCTTGCTGGGGAATCAAGATTCTGCACGTCCCAGCCTCCTTGCCCCCAAAAGGCTGAATATTTAGGAATTCCCTGGTGATCCAGTGGTTAGGACTCTGTGCTTTTGCTGCAGGGATCATAGGTTTGACCCTGGGTTTGGGGATTAGGATACTGCATGCCCTGCAGTGTGGCCAAAAAATGAAGAATAGTAAAAAAAAAAATAAAAACATTAAAAAATAAATAAGTTAAAAAAAATTAAACCTCCATTATGTTTATTGCCTTTTCAGAAGGTTCTACTAGGCCTTCACTTACATCAGTCATCTCCATGCGAGGGCAGGGCTACCCCTTCCTCAACTAGAGCAAATGATATGGTTGTGTAGCCAGGTGGTGAAAAAGTCAAGTCAGAAGACGTACCAAATGGTACTGGTGTCATTTAAGAGGCACTATTTCCTGATGAAGGAACTTGCGAAGGTAACTATGGATTCTAACTGGGTAGATCCAGTTTCTTCCTTGGTCTTCACCTTGTCTATTTGCACCCTGAGTTCTCAGCTCACTGCAAACCCTGCCTCCCGCCCCACCTCTCCGTCCAAAGGCTCCCACTGCTCAGACCTGACCAGTCAGCCCACCTCCTCCTCCCAAGTGGGTCTGTTTGCCCCTTGGTTTCTTTCCACCCAACTGAGAGGCTGCTCCAGTCTCACCTCTCCCCACCTTTATCGTTCTCCTACAACTACATCACGGGCTCAGCAGAAAGATGTTCTCTTAAATCTGCATTTCTGAGACTGTTTACCTTAGTGAAGTCTTAAAAGAGAAAACGAACGTCAGAGTCTGCCTAGGGGTTAGGAGGGGCAGCTCTCAGAGCAGAGCTGAAGGCAGCCGAGGTGGCCTTGTACAACAGCGCGCTCCTCCCGCTCCCCCTCCGAGGCGGCCTCTCCCTCGGCGTCATCGCGGGCACGGCACGGGCATGCTGGCTCTGGCGCCCGGCCTCTCTTTCCCGAGGGGAGTCTGCACAGACGAGGCCTGGGTCGTGCCTGGGAGGCCGAAAGGCTGCTGCCGGAGTGGCCGTGGTAGAATAGCAAGCAGACTCCAGGACCAGAGGAACATTCTGGGTGGAGGTGGAGTGGGCCCTGGGTACAGCTGAGGAAGAGAAAGCTCCAGGGAGGCTGGGGGAAGATGGTCTAAAGCGCCCCCCCAGGACATCTGACACCCCACTGGACACCTGTCAGTGACAGTCAGGTGTTATGATAATGGTGCAGAAAGGCTCATTTGTCCATCTCAAAAATGCCTGTCAAGTAAACCTTCTTAGGGTTCTTTTTAATAGTCACTTTAAAGGTTTTAGATGTTGTAATCTACAATATTTAAACACTAATCAAGTTGAGGGAATTCCCTGGTGGTCCAGTGGTTAGGACTCCACACAGGGCATGGGTTTGATTCCTAGTTGGGGAACTAAGATCCTGAAAGACATGTGGTGTGGCCAAAAAAAGAAAATCAAGTTGAAACTCTCAGAACCACTCAAATATTTATCCTGAAGGCCTAACAGTATAAGGAAGACACATCTAGCAAGGAGTAGAGAGATAAGCAACTGGAAGAGAATATATGAGCTTCTATGAGAACAAAGGAAGAATGAATTACTTCTGCCTGGAAAGTTCTACAGAGCAGGTGATAAGTGACCTGGAACCTGAGAGATGGATCAGGTGTTCCCAGGCGGATTAGTGAGAGCAAAGGGCATGCCCACGAGGCTAGTACATAGGGAACTGTGAGATGAACCAGATCACATAATGCCTGGGGGTGGGGTGGGGTGTGAGATGAGACTGGAGAGGTGTGTGTGTGTGTGTGTGCGCGCGCATGTGTGTGACAGAGAGGGAGATCATAAAATGTCTTGCACATTGTGATGAGGAACTGGGACCTTGCACTCTTAAGTAAAGGTGTCCTACGTCTTTTTTTTGGCCGTTGCAGTCATCTTAGCTCCTGGACAGAGGTGAACTCGGCCCCCTGCAGTGGAAGTGCAGAGTCCTCATCACTGGACCGCCAGGGGAGTCCCTACATTCCACATTTTTTTGATTCACTAATTGTGTGCAGCTGTTAATAATTCTTCCTACTCTCCCTTTAAGAATATTGGTAAAGACTTTGTCACTTCTGCATGGTGTGTGAGAAATAAGAAAAGTAAAATATCTTACTTTATGTCATGAATATTTGCTATTACAATTTTTCCATTTTCCCTCATTTATTAAATAATACATATTAATTTAACTTAAATTAGGCAAGAAAAAGGATGATTTGTAGACAAATGAATTATCAAGCAAATACCATGTTTCCTTCTGGGACCAAATGTCTTAAAATGTGGACTGAAATAGAATCTTATGACTATATATTCATGACCTGATTATTTGAATTCTTACATTTAATGTATAAAATTTAAGTGGCCTAGTTTAACAATTTTTGTGATTTGCTTCTAAACCCTGAGACAAAAAATGAAGGTTCTACAGTTGGCATTTATCTATCTATCTATGTAGATATTAGATCTATCTATGTGATAGTTTCAGGTGAGCAGTGAAGGGACTCAGCCATACTCATTCTTCCCCATTAAATCAGTTTTAAGGGGACTGCAAGATCTGTTATAAACAAGGCTAAAACATGTTAAAACATGTAATGCTGTATCATTAATTTCACTTGCCAAAACTAAGAAAAGCTATATAGCTAATAATGGGGTTTACTTCATTGACAAGATACATACCAATGGATATTGCATTTTGTCAATAAATTAGAATGTTAAATTTCCACTGACTTCAATTTCTGAAACAATGGTTTACTCAATTTATGTTATCTTCTTTGAGAGGAGACAAGTCAAAATGACATGATTTGAGCTAGCGCTGGTTATTATTGGGCTTTCCTGGTGGTTCAAATGGCAAAGAATCCATGAGAGCATCAATTAAAAACACCTATGGAGAAAATTCATAGTAACAAGAATTCATAGTAACACAACTCATTTACACTCAGGAATTTTCCTTAAGATAATGTATCTCTTACTAAAACAGCAGATACTTTTACTAAGTCAACACTAGTGAAATTAACAGAGGCACTGTTCCACCGCCCCCCCCCCCCAAAATGGGCCCTCTGCATCCATTGCTGAGTCACTCCACTGCTATCATCTGTATTAAGCTACTTTACATTTCCATATTAAACCTTGAGTTCCCCATACTGAGCCTACAGCACTTCACAGTCACACTTATTTAACGGTTCTTTAATTCAGTGTTAATAAAAATGCTGGAAAGGTTTTATGAATCTGTGAAGCAGATTAGTATTAGAAAGAGAGATGATTAAAATACAGTCCCTACTCTTAAAAACTCATTATCTATTAATAGTATAATATAATATAATGTAAGAAAGTCTTTTATTAAAGACTCAAGAATTTTACTAGATGAACTACATTCAAGTAAGGAAATTATACTTGGCTTGTACAAGAAACCAGTGAAATAGCAGTTATCTCGGGGAACTGGCTTTTCCCAGTTCCAATCTTTTTTCATTAGTTTGCCAGCTGACGAACTCCAAGTTCAAGGTCTCTGGAACAGTCTTTTCAAAATGGTTACACATTTAGCACCAGACCAAAACTGTACCCCATGAAACACTCAACTGAACTGCAGGCTAATTGCTTCTCTGAATTTTTTTAATAGGTTATTCTTAAGCCTGTTGACTTAATGGTGCAACAAATCTTATTCTTGTTCTTTTGCTCTGACTTATCCAATCCCACTTTTTTCTACACTGAAAAGGTATAGGTAACACATTCCCAAGCTTTGGTTTATCTGGGCATACTGTGAGGAATATCCTCTTAAGGGTGTAAGCAGAGCAATACCCTCCTAAAGGTGTAAGCAGAAGCCTCATGGGCTGGAATCCAGTGCATGTAAGGCTGAGACACTCTCTTCTAGCTCATACTCAAAACAAAACAATTTTCTGCGTTTGGTATGAAAAGGCCAAAAAAAAAAAAAAAAAATCAAATACCATTAGAGGTATTCTGGTCACTTTGAGTAGGAAGCATGAAATATCTCTTTTTGTAATGATTACTGGGTTAACTACATTGATAGCATTACTTTTCCTGGAAAATTAAACTTTTAGTTTTATTTTTTCAATTAAAATTTTTTTCTTTTGCATGTACTGCACAGCATGCAGGATCTTAGTTCCCCAACCAGGGATTGAATCTCTGCCCCCTGCAGTGAAAGCTCAGAGCCTTAACTACTGGATCACCAGGATCTTAGACTATAATTTTAAACATAAACATCAGGTAAGTAAAAACTTTTACATACGTTAGGGTTGTTTCCGTTCTCCAGACTTGCTCGAGGTCTTCATCAGGGTCCTTGAATCCAGTAAAGGAGTAGTAAGACTTGTCCCATTTGATGGGCCTGTCAGATGTCCTTTTGGCCTCTTTGAGAGGCTGGGAATGCACATTAGTATTCAAGCTTTGGACATGTTCAATAGATAAACTGCAGGAGTTGAGAATATATAATACTGTGCTTAGCAGATCTCTGGTGTGCAAAGTAAATTTGACTGCTCGAAATCCTAGAGAATATAATTCCCCCAAACAGTTAATACAGATGATTATTTGCTTTACTTTAAAAACATTTTTTTCATACAACATTTATAGAATCAAAATCTTTTAAAACACTCCATTACCAATTAAAATTCATCCTATTGAAAAATCATCTGTAAATGGAAAATGATGTCCCCTCTCCAGAACTGTACCATACTCTCTTGATTTATGAAGTTCTCTGTCAGCTCCCTTTTCTAGTTTGGCACCAGTGATCCCGGCCCAAAAAGAGGATTGAGAATATTTTTCAATGCTGTTCATAAATTGTATCTCTACAGTCTAAGGAATGGGAAAGTTCTCCTATAAGCAAGTGTCCACCAAAAAGAGTCTCCAGGGCTTAAGGCCCAGGGGAAGGGTAGAGGCAGGAGAGGCTGACGGGGACAGTGGTTCGTGGAGGGGGTCACAGAAACTCACCTCAAATTTTCTCTATGATTAAAAGTGACTGTGCTTATACTCCCCTATCCCCATCTTGTGACTCAGTGTTTTCAGAAGTGACTCAAAATTCCATAATTTTTTAAAAGTCAGCACTTCACAATCTGATTTTAATACAGGTAGTCACTGTGCTCAGACTAGTAATCTAACTTGTTAAGTCAACAACAGGAAATCTACTGGGTTCCCTCACTACTTATTGGTTATTAAACTTGGCAATAGTTGAATGTGTATCACTTTTCAATCAACGTTCACATCGGGTGCCATTATTATCTCCTTTGAAATGTGAAGAAGCATAGGCTCAAGGGGTTAAGAACAGTGAGTGAGGGTTTACATCTGAGCCGACACCACGCCAAGCATTTTCCCCACTATAAATAACATGCTGACCCCTTTTTCTTCAAAATTTTTTAAAAATTGGTTTTAAAAATTACATAAGTATTATATAAGTACATCCTTATTGTAAAATGATACGTATAAAGTAAAAGTCTGTTGACAGGCACACAATTTCACTAGATACAATCTTATTAACATTCAAGTACACACTACCTTATATGGTAGCTACTAGGCATATGTGGCTATTTAAAATTAAATTGATTAAAATTAAGTTAAATTTAAAATTCAGTTCCTGGTCATACTAGCTCCACTTCAAGTGCTCAGGAGCCATATTGGGCCAGTGCCGGCTGTACCAGACATGCATACACACATACGCGTGACATCACTGCAGAAGGTTCTCTGAAATAGCGCTGCTCTTGACCTTTCCTATGTGCTTCGTATGCATGTTACGCATGACATACACACTTATGTCTTTGCACACACACACCCCTATGGTGTGAACCGCTCCATTTAAACATATAAACTCAGCTGTGTCCGACTCTTTGTGACTCCATAGATGGTAGCTTGGAGGTTCCTCTGTCCATGGAATTCTCTAGGCAAGAATACTGCAGTGGGTTGCCATTCCCTTCTCCAGGAGATCTTCCTGACCCAGGGATTGAACCCAGGTCTCCTGAATTGCAGGCAGATTCTTTACTGTCTAATCTACCAGGGAAGCCCCATATCAACTACACCATTCTGCAGGTATTACTTCGAATTTGCTCTTGTTATTTAACCTGGGGGACTCCTCCATATCTGTATGTGTATGTCAACCTCTTTTGTTTTAGTAGGGCTATGCTAATCCACATAATGAATGGAGCGTAATTTATTTTACACTTCTGAAACTGATGGGCATAAAAATTGTTCTTAATTTTTCATCGTTCCATTCAAGGCTGAAATGTGTTTTTTTTCGTGTCTTTGCCACTGATGACAGTCATCACAGTCTAGATTGTTCTCAGAGATACCTATTCTGCCTGCCACACAGATTTACAGAGTCTAGAACATGCAAACTGAGAAAGAGTTTTTAGTCAAATCACTGATGGTAATGTGAGAAAAATATTTGTAGAATTATTCTAGGCAGTGAAAGAGGAAAGGAAAATCCAAGTTCCTGCAGTTGAGGTTAGAAGAAATAGTTTATCCTCAGAAGAGATGAGTCAAGGAGTAAATCTCAATTTCTCTCTTAATTTACCAACTCCATTAATCACTTAATTCAATGTAAGAGCTACTACATAGTTTGGAATGCCTGTGCCAGATTGCACGCCTCCTTTATTGGGAATATTATCTAATTAACTTAGTTTGCATTGATTACTAAAGCTAAACATTTTTATGTGCGTATTGGCTACTTGTTGTTTAGTCACTTAGTTGTGTCCAACTCTTTGCAATCCCATTGACTGCAGCCCACCAGGCTCCTCTGTCCATGGGATTTCCCAGGCGAGAATACTGGAGTGGGGTGCCATTTCCTCCTCCAGGGGATCTTCCCCACCCAGGGATGGAGCCCTCATCTCCTGCTTGGCAGGTGGATTCTTTGCCCCTGAGCCACCTGGGGAGACCCAGTGGCTATGTATGGGTATTATTTCTTGAAGTGCCGGGACACTGTTTGCCTGTCTTTGTAACTGAGCTGCTCTTTTTTTTCCTGACACCTAAAAACTCCTTATATACTAACATTATCTTTTTCTCACTTATGCTATGTCTTCTCTCATCTCTTAATTATTTTTCACAATCTACTTTTATTTAGTAAATGGTTCAAAGTTAACCATTAACTGAAAGTAGAGGATTTTTCTCTTTACTCAGCCAAAGCTGACTACAGCTATTTGTTTTAGCATTAATTCACAGAAAACTCTTAGTAAATCTTTAAATTGTTTTAAAGTTTATTCTAAAAGAGTTATTTCCTCAAGAATGACAAAAAGGATGGATGTTTAGAGAATAACGGACCTACATTTACCCTTAGTTTTAAGTATTACTGGGACTTCCCTGGTGGTTCAGAAGGTAAAGATTCTGCCTACATTGTAGTGCAGGAGACCCGGGTTCAATCCCTGGGTAGGGAAGATCCCCTGGAGCAGGAAATGGCAAACCACTCCAATATTCTTTCCTGGAGAATTCCATGGACAGAGGAGCCTGGTGGGCTACAGTCCATGGGGTCCCAAAGAGTTGGACATGCAAAGCAGTGACAAAGGACCAAACAGAAAGCTGTATATTTAGACTGATCAGATTTTAGAAATAGCATGAGGCTGGGGTTAGAGAGTTCAGAGACCCTTATTCTGTCTCCATGGTCCTGGAACATTACTAAGTTACAATTGGGCAAATACTAGGTACCTCACAGGGTACTTTGAGGACTAGATAAGAAAAGGTAAGCTATATTAAAAAAAATTGTCATATACACATTTAATAAAACAGTACTGAAACAGGAAGGGGACAAACAGAAACATTTTAGTATTCTAGTCAAAAAAGTTTAAACATAAAAAGTGGCTCATCCATATACACACTGCCATACATAAAACAGCTACTGGGAAGGTGCGTACCACACAGGGTGCTCAGCTCTGTTCTCTGTGATGACCTAGAGGGCTGGGATGGGGGTGCTCAGGGGGAGGGGATGTATGTGTACATATAACTTATTCACTCTGTCATACAGCAGAAACTGACACAGCATTGTAAAGCAACTATCCTTAAGGAAGAAAAAAAAGGAGGCTCATTGAACAGAAGTAGCCAGGAATAAAATCTAACTCCAGGAAAACTCTTGATTAAATGATATTACTTTCTATGACAAGGCTTCACTCCAGAGGTCTTCTAGCAATTTTTAGGCAGACTGAACTCATACCAAACGAAGCCTGCAAGAGTGCAAGGGACATATGAGAAATAAGACATGTACCAGAAGTGCTGAAGTGTTCCTGGCCATCAGAGGGATGCTGATCTGTTTCTCTTACATAAAACACAAGCTGGGTTGGTTTCAAAGACTTGAAGCCTGGTTTCTGAAGGTTTTCTAAGTAGGCACTTAATCTCTTAAGGGAATTTTCATTGACTTCCTGGAAAAAAAATATTAAGACATTTATGTACAAAATAGAACAAGGAAACATCAGAAATTATATCCCAACCTTTTAAACACACTATTGAGTGTATTAAAGAATTTAGTACTAAAAAAAGTTGGGATTTCATAGGTCCTCGGTACAGGATAAAATTGAATCCATACCTCACAACATGTAACTCCACAGAGAAGAGATATAAAAAAAAATGTAGCTACGAAAGTATTAGAAGAAAACATGGCTGAGTTCCTTTATAAATGAGATGTAGAAAAAACCTAACTATGACTAAATATCTCAAGTAATAAATGATTGATAAATCTAGTTATATAATAAAAACAATATAGTACAGGGAACTATATTCAGTATCTTGTGATAAACCATAATGAAAAAGAATATAAAATACATACATATGTATAACCGAATCATTGTGCTATACAGCAGAAATCAACACACTGTAAATCAACTATACTTCAATTTTAAAACAAGCTTAAAGAAACAACGCATAAAAAACCACACACACACACACCATTCTATAGACAAAAACCGACTCTCAGCTATATTGTGTTGGGGGTTTGATGATTTACTACCTAGAAGGATTTACAGAACTCAGAAAAGCTATTACACTCATGGTTATACTTTATTACAGCAAAAGGATACAGATTAAAATCAGCAAAGGGAAAATGTGTGTGGGGTGCAGTCCAGGAGGGGCCAAGTGCAAGGTTCCAGCTGTCCTCTCCCAGGGACGTTCTACAGGCAGTGCCTAAGATCCCAGCAAGGACATGTGACAACATCAGAAGTGCTGCCAACCACAAAAGCTCATTCAAGCCTTGGGAGCCACGGCTTTTACTGGGGCACTATGTGCCCACGTGACTGACCTTAGGTATTTGTCTCCAGCCTCCCCAGAGGGTCTCAGACATGAGAAATTAGGCATTTTACCATAACTCACATTGTTAGGGTAAACTGTCTGGTGTGGCCCAAGGCTTTGGGCACACAGAAACATTCTTATCAGGCAAGGATATCCCCAGGCTCAGAGCTCATCTCCCAGGAGGCAGTGAAGAGCCAGGATTGAAGCCAGGCATTTCTTTCTAACAAAGCAACCCAAGCCTGCTGAGTTCACATTTTACGGCACATAAAAGTTTTAGTTAAAAGAAAAAAAAAGGTATATTGGTAGAGGAGGGAAATCATCACCTAGCACTAAGCTTAATTTTTCCATACATGTTGGATTTAAAAACTGTAAATTGTGAAACATTAAACTGTATTCATGTCTGACATTCCCAATAATTTGTATTAATTTATTACATCTCCAAGGTAGTGGATATTTTGCTGTTGATTCAATTTACTAATTAGTTAAAAAGGATCTAATTTCTAACAACCAATAAAACCACCATCATAAGCAGAGTATTTTCCTAAAGCAAAGAAGTAAAACTGATTTATTTTCCATGGTAAGTAGAAAAAGGCAATACAGTAATGTTCTAATTTTCAAGAGTTTTAAATTCCTTTTCATGTTAAACCAGTTATCAGTATCAAGGAAGATAAAAGGAACCAATGAGATAATTTCAAAGCATTTGGTTTTGTAATATATTATCTAATGTTAAAAAATACTGGTGTTCCTAATTAAGTTTATCATAAAAAAAAAAGTTTATCATGAGTTATTTTTCACATCAGTTTGTATTCCTTGAACACACATGAACTGATGGTGTGGGGAAATGGACAAACAGCAGGTAACTATTCAGGCACTGAAAAACCTTCCTTATATCAATCTTAAAAAAGGGACTAATTATACTAACAGAGGCCAGAAGTGGTCTTTCTGAGCCTCAATTTTGGTACAGAAAACATGATTACTCACATACAGAGTTTACACAGTATCTTTTTTTTTTTAGATTTTTTTTAATATGGACCATTTTTAAAGTCTTTATTCAATCTGTTACAGTATTGTTTCTATTTTATGTTTTGGTTTCTTGGCTGTGAGGCATGTGGGATCTAAGATTCCCCCATCAGGGATCAAACCCACACCCTCTGCATTGGAAGGTGAAGTCTTAACCACTGGACCACCAGGGAAGTTCCTAAACTGGTATCTTTATTGCCTGCCAGAAATATGACCGCTTTCATAAAAAAACAATAGTTAGTTTCAATTTCCAGTGTCTTTAGTTCAAAGCATTGATTATACTGCTAGGACAAAACAAACACAATTTATAGAACTCTCTGTATTACACTGTAGCAAAGGTAAATAAACAAACATAGACTGAACGTTAAATATAAAGAAAAATAAATATTTACCCTTTCCCTGGGGTGCTGTCCAAAGAAATCTGGATGTACAGCAAAGTAAAACGGCCTCAAAGCATTGACGGCTTCAGCTCCTGACAAAGCTCTTGATAACAGAAAGCAGTATGGAAATATCTTTCCTGGACATAACCTTTTTAAAAGATATGGATTTATTACTCACTGGATCACTGACACAGACACAAATCCCCCCATGAATAAAGTAACAGTAACATTAAGATTACTATGTATGGGAAACATCACAGAAACAATGTATAAACCAGAGTGTAAAACTTTGTGGTTTTCTGAAATCTACAGAAGAGTAGATTTCAGTGACAGCTACATGATTTCTATAAACAGTGGTTATAAATTCCTCTGATGTAACATCATAAGATAATATTTAATAATAATAATAATAAAACTTCCTCTCAAAAGCCTACCTTGAAATGTAAACTGGCTTCACTGCAAATGATGACAATTTTGTATATCATTTTTCTTTTCCAGATTTAAAAAAAAAACCCTGATATCCAAAAGAATAATCTTTAAAGTGAAAAATTGTTTGAGAATTGTAATGCTTCATAAGAGATATAAAATGTCTTCTAGTTCATTTCATCATTACCAGCATGCTAAATTTTCCAGTTAGATACCCTGACATCTCATTCTCAAATTTTGACATAACTCACTGGGGAGTGTTTTTTTTAAAAGTAGTTTTAAATCCAAATGAAATTATTTGCAGTTTCTGGGAAGCACTTTCATGACTTCTATTTTTGAATGTAATAATTTACCTTTTTCACTGTATGATGGGCTGTGAAGTGAACTGAAAGTCGTCCAGTTGTGTCCGACTCTTTGTGACCCCAGGGACTGTGGCCTGCCGGCCTCCTCTGTCCACAGGATTCTCCAGGCAAGAACACTGGAGTGGGTGGCCATGCTCTTCTCCAGGGGATCTTCCCGACCCAGGGATTGAACTCAGGTCTCCCACATTGCAGACGGATTCTTTACCATCTGAGTCACTAGGGAAGTCCCACTGGGCTGTGAGGAAGTCTCTAAATACTGTGTCCACTTTGGTCTCCTACATTAGGTGCACTGAATCTTTGGGGAAGTTTTCTACTTTTACAATGATTGAGGGGCTTCCCTGGTGGTCCAGTGGCTAGGACTTAGTGCAGACCCCAATGCAAGGGGTCTGGGTTTGTTCCCTGATCAGGGAAGTAGATCCCACATGCACAACTAAAAGATTCCGTGTGCAGCAAGGAAGACCTGGCACAGCCAAATAAATATGTATTTTCAAAAAATAAAACGGTATTATAGAATCATTTCTGGAGATTAAAAAACAAAACAAAACAATCTGAGCAACACCATCATATTTTCAGATTACTTTTCTTTTTTTCAACCTATACTTGAACCTTCTATAAAATCAACATACAGGCTGTGTATTAAGGATTATATAACAGGAGTTTGGACAGTAAAGGAGATGCCGAAAGTCCTCAGTAGGAGGCAGGATAAGTAAATGTTAGTGACAGCTCCATTTCCTCTCTATCTGAGTTTAAGTTCCCATTTCCAAATGTGTGATGGACACTTTAGCTATCCTGCTAGCCTCTCAAATTTTAAATGTCTTAAAAAAAAGGAGCCGAGGTTATTACTTTTCTTCTAAACACAGCTTGGGTACAAAAGGCAAGGAAGCAGTTGGACAGTGCCGTCCAGGATTACATTCTTTATTTCTGTTACTGAGGTACCTCTTTTCTGCCTGTTGCCAGTGCAGAACCCCTTAAACCCACTGTTGCCTCAATTAGCTCACCAGCCCCACCTCATTGTCAGTCCTGAAGTCTTACTTCTTCTCACTTTACCGCATCCTTTGAAATTATTCCTTCTTCCCAGCAATGACCACCACAAAATTGGACTGAACTGCCTCCTAATCAGTATTCTCCTGTTTCTTTTCCTTAACCATGCTGTATACAGGTTAATTTTCCTAAAATCCCACTATCCTTGGATTCCTTACTGAAACACCTTTGATGGTATTTCAACTCTTGCAGAGTAAAATCCATTTCTTAGTCTGGTATTTATAACTTCCAATCTATCTTTCCAACTTGATCTTCAAGCACTCCTGACAGAAACCCTCAGCTTCAGCCCTGCTGGCCATCTGCCTTGTCCTTCCATTTCTTCTCATGATTTCTAAGCTCTCAGACGTCCTTTCTGTTCCCCACTTCCGTCTGTTCAAATTGTACTTACTCATTCACTAATTACCGCAGTCCTAGCGATGTGCCAAGAGGCAATGTGCCCAGTCCCCCAGAACCTTCCCTCTTGTATCCTCATTATAAACAGTCTTTCCCTCTTCTAAGCTTTAATAAAACAACCTGTGTGCCCCACGTATGTGGAACAGAATACCATAATGTAGAAATGATAAGTATTCATCCTCCTCAACTACCATGGCATCCTTGAGGGCAGGAAAAACATTTCACAGGTATTTACTGTTGTTCATTATGCTAGTTTGGGTCTGCTGAAAAGCAGAAGTCAAGACAGAAGTAGATGTGCATTCTGTGCAAGACAGAATGACTGGGAAAGAGAGGAAGTAGGGAGACTTTTCAGACCATGGTTCAGGCCAGACACCTACAGAAGGCGAAAGGGAAGGGAGGAGCCTTGGGGAGGATGTCTGGGGCTGCTGTCTGGTCCCAAGAAGGGTTCGGTCCTGCCAGCGGGAAGTCTTCCAGCTAGTCACCCATTGGGGGCAACCTGTGTCCTGCTGGAGTGAGCCTGACTTGGTATTCCTCTTCCCCTCGGCCACTGATGGCCTCAGGGCAAACCCTGAGGTAGACCCAGAGGGGCAGGAGAGCTCAGAGGCTCCCACCACAGGGTCTGGCTAACGTATAGTAAATGACTGTGCAGCAGATATTTAATGCAAGGAAATAAGAGTAAGAAAAACCAGAGAAACGCTGGGCTGGCTGAAGCACAAGCTGGAATCAAGACTGCCGGGAGAAATATCAATAACCTCAGATATGCAGATGACACCACCCTTATGGCAGAAAGTGAAGAAGAACTAAAGAGCCTCTTGATGAAAGTGAAAGAGTAGAGTGAAAAAGTTGGCTTAAAGCTCAACATTCAGAAAACTAAGATCATGGCATCTGGTCCCATCACTTCATGTCAAATAGGTGGGGAAACAGTGGAAACAGTGCCTGACTTTATTTTTCTGGGCTCCCAAATCACTGCAGATGGTGACTGCAGCCATGAAATTAAAAGACACTTACTCCTTGGAAGGAAAGTTATGACCAATCTAGACAGCATATTAAAAACCAGAGACCTTACTTTACCAACAAAGGTCTGTTTAGTATGGTTTTTCCAGTAGTCATGTATGTGTGTGAGAGTTGAACTATAAAGAAAGCTGAGTGCCGAAGAATTGATGCTTTTGAACTGTGGTGTTGGAAAAGACTCTTGAGAGTTCCTTGGTCTGCAAGGAGATCCAGCCAGTCCATCCTAAAGGCAATCAGTCCTGAATGTTCATTGGAAGGACTGATGTTGAAGCTGAAACTCCAATACTTTGGCCACCTGATGTGAAGAGCTGACTCATTTGAAAAGACCCTGATGCTGGGAAAGATTGAGGGCAGGAGGAGAAGGGGATGACAGAGGATGAGATGGTTGGATGGCATCACCGATTCAATGGACATGAGTTTGGGTGGACTCCAGGAGTTGGTGGTGGACAGGGAGGCCTGGCGTGCCACGATTCATGGGGTTGCAAAGAGTGGGACACAACTGAGTGACTGAACTGAACTGAAAGCAATATTGTGTTGCTTTATTTTGTGTGTGTGTGTTGCTTTAGATTGAGCAAAACTGGCATATGAAACTTCTTTTGTAAAGGGCCAGAGAGGAAATATTTTAGGCTTTCAGGGCCATCTGGTTTGTGATGCAACTGTGCAACTCCACTGCTGTAGTGGGAAAGGAGCCACAGGCAAGAGATAAAGGAAGGAGGTGGCTGGGGGCGAATGAAGCTTCATTTACACACACAGACTGTGCAGTCAACTTAGTTGTGAAATCAATTTAGCAATCCATGACCAACATAAAAAACACACCAAAAAAAAAAAAAAACCAACCCAGAAAATATATCTCAGAAAAGAAGATATTCTAGGATATTATGTGTGGCAAGGTTAACTACTGTTATGAAACTTTTATTTTTATAGGTTAGAGTTAAAATATAGTTTTCTAAAGACTGAGATCAAAAAAGCTAGAAAACGGTGTCTCTATCCACAACAACTAGTACTTACTGCCATCAGTGGCATGGGGGTGAAGGAGCAGGTATCACTGAAGGAAACAGCCCAGGAAGTGTTATAAATCCCATCCTTCCAAGCTCCTACAACCTCTCTTTGCATCAGAGCAAGAGGACACAACACTTTAGCCTGGTTTCCTACAGCTGAACACTATCATCAGATACCACAACATATAGAATGTCTCAACATCTGCCCAACAACTTTTTGGGATGCTATCCAGTATCTCACAGCCTCTTTTGTTTCACTTTTCTTCTTCTTTTAAACAATTTATGTCATAAATTCAGTGAGAGAAAGTCTCCCTTTATTGGATAATCCTCATCATAAACTGAATTGGTGGAAACAGCCTGTACCCCCTAAAGACACTCCTTTTAACAGTGACCATTTACTGAGAGAGTCACGTATCAACGCATAATTATTTAAAAGTACTAATCAGTGTCAAATGTGTTTTAGTAATCTAAAACTTGACATGTCATTTTTTGGGGTGAGATTGTGCCCTGAGGCATGTGGGATCTTAGTTCCCTGACCAGGGATTGAACCCGTGTCTCCTGCATTTGAAGTGTGGAGTCATTATGGAGACATAATGGAGACATTATTTTTATGGAACAGATCAAATTTTATTTTGGTTATATACTTTGAGCCAAATAAATTTACCTTTTTTGACTTGGCTACCAAGAAGCCAGAAACCTGATATTTGAATGATTGTCTATAATCAGTTCTACTTTTTAAACAAATGATCTTTTTTATCTAGAGGGCATCTGGTTTTCATTTTGATTAACTGCATATGTGCCTATTACTATGCCAATTAAATTTTATTGAGCTTCTCAAATCCTTTCCTGAACTAGGAAGCATTTAGACTATATAATATATATATAAATAGCAAATATAACGTTTGACTGATCTTATTATACAATTTCAATGCAAAGTGGTTTTCTATATGACAGCAACAGACTTGACGGCAACATGGTAAGATCTGTGCTAAGGACAAACTATTTTCTTTTCCTCTTAAACTCTTCACACCGAACTATTTTGAAAGATGGTATTTATTCTTTTCACCTTTTACTCTGAATAGATACTTGGGAGAAAGACACGGATGTTTACATAAATTTTCTTTTTCTTACTCCTGCCCTCCACCATAATACAGACAAAATAGTTGGAATTTGATAAATTATAATAAATTGAAATTAAATACCTAACAGCTTCCACATCCTCCCTCCACCTCCCAAATACTAATAACAGATTGAAGCACAAAGCTTACCTCCTCACAGGTCTCAGGTGGCAAAACATTTCTGAATATATATGTAGGTCAAGTTCCAGGCATCCATTAATCACTTAAAAAGTTAAGCAGATACCAGTAATGAACAAATAGAATTTGAAATTAAAAGCACATTACAATTTACATTAGCAACCCCCAAAATGAAATACTTAAATTATAAATCTAACAAAATATGTTGAAGATCTATGAGGAAAACTGTAAGACTTGGATTAAAAAAAATCAAAGAAGAATGAAATGGAGAGATATTCCATGTTCATGGATAGTAAGACTCAATTTTGTCAAGATGTCAGTTCTTTCCAATTTGATTTACAGATTCAATGCAATCCCAACCAAAATCTCAGCAAATTATTATTTGGAAACAACATATAATAGTTTATATGAAGAATAAATAGAACAGCCAACTCAACACTGAAGAAGAATAAAGTTGGAAGACTGACACTAGTGGACTTCAAGACTTACTGTAAAGTTACAGTAACTGGTAAAAGAATACACAAATAGATTAATGGGACAGTAAGAGCATCCAGGAAGAGATATCAAAAATATAGCCAACTGATCTTTGACAAAGGTGCTACTATGGAGCAATGATAATCTTTCAACAAATGGTACTGGAACAACTGGACATCTACATGCAAAAATATTAATCCAGTCATACAATTTACACACTTCACAAAAATTAACTCAAACTGGATCAAAGACCTAAATATAAAACACAAGACTACAGAATTCATAGACAGGTACCTAGGAGAAAACCCAGATGACCTTAGGTATGTTAGTGACTTTTCAGATACAACACCAAAGGTTCAGTCTGTGAAGGAAAGAACTGATATGCTGAATTTCATTAAAATTAAAAATTAAAAAAAAATTTGCTCTGTGAAAGACAATGTAGAGGGAAAGAAAGAACAAACCACAGACTGGGAGAAAATATTTGCAAAGGATATACATATCTGACAAAGGATTGCTATCCAACATACACCAAAAATATCTTTAAAACTCAACAACAGGAAAATGGACAACCTAATTAAAACATGGGCCAAAGATTTGAATAGATACCTCATGGAAGAAGATATACAGATGGAAAATAAGCATATAAAAATATGTTTCACATCATAGGTCTTCAGGGAAATGCAAATTAAAACAATGATATACTACAACACACCTATTAGAATGGCCAAATCCAAAACGCTGACAACAAATGCTGGTGAGGATGTGGAGCAACAGAAACTCTCATTCATTGCTAGCAGGAATGCAAAATGATACAGCCACTTTGGAAGGCAGTTTGGAAACTTCTTACAAAACTAAACAGACTCTTACCATATGATCTAGTAACCGCACTCCTTAGTATTTATTCAAATGAACTGAAAACATGTCTACACACAAACCTGCACACGAATGTTTACTGTGGTTTTATTCGTAATTGCCAGATCTTAGAAGCAACCAAGATTTCCTTCAGTAGGTGAGCTGATAAACTGCAGTACATCCAGCTAATTAAATATTACTCAGTACTAAAACAAATGAGCTCTCAAGCTATGAGGAGACATGAAGAAATTTAAATGCATATAACTAAGTGAAAAAAGCAACCTGGGAAGATTATATACTGTATGATTCCAACTATATGGCATTTTGGAAAAGGCAAAACTATGCTGATAGTAAAGAGATCAGTGGTTGGCAGGGAGGGAGGGATGAATTGGTGGACCACACAGGATTTTTGGGCAGTGGAAGTACTCCATATAATACTACTATAATGGTAGATAGATATCATTATACATTTGCCCAAACCTATGAAATGTACAACACTAAGAGTGAACCCTAATGTAAACTATGGACTTTGGGTGATAATCACGTGTCAATATAGGTTCATCGATTGTAACAAATGTACAACTCAGGTATGGGAGGCTATGTGTGTGTAGGGAGGAAGTGGGAATCTATACTTTGCTCACTTTTGTTGTGAACCTAATATTGCTCTAAAAAACAAAGGTTTTTTATGTTTTAAAAGTTTAAGCAGATAAAGGGGAAACATGATTTTAATCACATGAACTTTTCCAATAATTCAGAGCTTCAGCAACCCACGTCAACTGATGGAGTGACTTTAAAAACTCTGAGCAATCTCTTATTCAAGTCTTGAAGTGACTTATTATTTACACGATAATCACCAGGTTTAAAAAAATCCTTTCTCCTTTCTTCCCCTGGCTTATGAAGCTTGGAGCTTTCTACACTATTCCATTCTTAATAGCCATGTGGAGCAGCATATTCCCTCAAAACAAACCACCACATGGCTCAAGTCCTATTCTGTCAAAATCTTAAGCACTAAAAATGGTTTAAAAATTTTCAGTTGATGTTTGGTAGAAACCAACACAATTCTGTAAAGCAATTATCCTTCAATTAAAAAATAATAAATTAATTTAAAATAAAAAATGCTTTCGTAATGCAGTTAATATATCTGAACCAAGGCAATGTAATGAAGCATAACTGCCACTAACAGAAGATGTATTTTAAAGAAAAGTCAAGAATTACCCACTTAAAAAGTGCATTTGCAAACAACAGTGGATGCTTCCATTTATTTTCTGGTCGACTGGTGTGGCAAGACCCTCTTGGATACAGAATGTGTTTATAGGCATTCATTTAAATGTTTAAAAAGGTTTTATTAACCATTCACCTTGCTATTTTGTTTGTAATAAATTCAGATACTAGAAATATTCCTACCATTTGCAAGATTTCTGAGATTAAATGGAGACATAATGAGGGAAGAAGAACATTTTTACTAAAATTTCGGTGCTGTCCATGATGGACTGAATTCTTACCAAACGTCGTCACAAAATTAACCGAACAGGACTTTCCTGGTGGTACAGTGGATAAGAAGCTGCCTGCCAATGCAGGGGACATAGGCTCAATGCCTGGCCTGGGAAGATGCTACAAGCCTTGGAGCAACTAAGCCTGTGTGCCACAACTACTGAGCCTGTGCTGTAACTCCGGAAGTCCGCGCAGCTACAGTTCATACTCCACGACGAGAGAAGCCGCTGCAATCAGAAGCCTGTGCACAGCGAAGGAGAGGAGCTCCCGCTCACCGCAACTAGAAAGAGCCTGAGCGCAGCAATGACGACCCAGTGCAACCAAAACTCAATCAATCAATCAAAGTAACTGAACAATCGTGACTTAGTTAAGAGAGAACAGGTACAAGTCTTAAAGTTTGCAAAGAAGAGACCAGAAGAATATACATATCCAACCCAAAACTGGCTCTCTCTAAGTGTCAGCTAGGAAGTCCTTTACTTTTTATATTTCCTAGTTTATTTACCATGAACATGCAAAATATGTTCTTAAAAACAAAAAAACAGTGCTGCTGGCATACAAAATTAAACAAAAATGACATGCATGTTGTTCACTGAGTATTTAAGACAGGCCCCCGGCCCTGGGAAACCTGTCCAGTGACAGCCCTGGACTGTGGTCCCAGTGGAGTTCAAGAAGAAAAGAGTCCTTCACATTCACACATGATGATATTTCAGTTTTCATATTAAGAACATTTATGCCACTTAACTGCAAAGATGATAAAATGAGCTAAAACTGGATAAGAAATGAGGAATAATACTCTAGAGGCATATGGTTACCCAAGAACACGAATGGAAAACAGATGAAAATAATAAGCAGCCATGCTCTAACCACTATGGTTTTTCTCTCAGGCTTCTAAAAGAAGCCTTGAAAAGTCCTAAGTACTGAACAATGGAAAGCATATAGGCCTCCCATTGCAACAACAACGTGCCTGTTTTAACGGTCTGTGGCAGCAGTATCTTAGAAGTTTAAGAAATCACAATGCCTCCATCTGATGTGCAACACAGGTGATCCAAGTTATGCTCCGCAGCCCACTTTCCAAAGCAAGACATCAAATCAAACACAACAGGGACTTCCCTGGGGTCCAGTGGTTATGAATATGACTTCTGGGGGAAGGCAGGGGGCACAGAGAGAAAATGCCAAGTATCACATTTTAGATTCTGATGAGCTGTTGAAACGATAATTTATTGATTTCACTTGTTTCTATTTTAAAAGCAAAACACAATCTGGTTTTAACTGTGTTTTGATTTATCACTGGAAAAATTTAAATTACATCTGGGGCTCATACTGTATTTTTATTGGATGGCGCGGATTTAGGCCAACTCAAGGAAAATTTAAGTGAACATGATGCTGCTGGGGAAGGCAGTCTGCCCGATGGTTAGGTAGGCTGGAGTTTCCGAGCACGCATGCTCAGTCGTGTCTCTCTCTTTTCAGCCCCATGGACTGCAGCCTGCCAGGTTCTGTCCATGGAATTTTCCAGGCAAGAATACTGGAGTGGGGTGCCGACCTAGGGATCGAACCTGTGTCTCTTGCAATTCCTGCACTGGCAGTGGATTCTTAACCACTAGTGCCACCTGGGAAGCCCGGAGTCTCTGAAATCCACATTCAAATCCTGACTGCGTCACTGACTAGCTGTGTGAGAACGGACAAGTTGTTTCACTTCCCCTGAGTGTGCTCCTCATCTAATAAATGACAGAGATGATCCAAGAGCAGTCTGTTCTGCTACCAAAGAAAAATGTTTCTTTAATGTGAATTAACATAGCTTATGTGCATCTGGTCAGCAGGGGAGAGATATTATATCACATGCATTTCCCCCACCATGTTAATGATTTGAGATCATCAGTGGTGGGCTTTCTACTATTACAAAGGAAGTTTTAGCTATAAACAAAATCCTGAAAAAAAAAACAACCCTGAAAATCCTCCAGTAGTTCCTTTGGTTTAAGCAGCAGATGGTTAGTCGCTTCAAGTATCTTTGCATTTTCCACTTCATCAAGCAACCTGGGGAGCTGCAATAGCACAAATGAAACAGCTAGAGATTCCCACATGTCTTGTTTTGAGAGGTGTATATTTTTTTAGATGAACCTTGATTAGTATATTATCTTACAGAATGTCTAGGTTTCCAGGAATGCGTATATGTCATAGCAAAAACACCTGCATAACATACACTGTCATGTCAAACTGAAATAGAAAAATGTTTTATTAACTGAGAGAATACTGTAAGCCAACACAATACTATAGTCTGCTAGGCAGGAGTAGTTAAGTCAGAAACTTTATCTTCATTGTAGAAAATGTCAGTTCACAGAGAAAGACAAATACCATATAGTATCACTTATATGTAGAATCTAAAAAAAAGACAAATGAACTTACTTACAAAACAGAAACATACCCACAGACATAGAAAACAAACTTACAGTTAACAAGGGAGAAGGGGGGTAGAGATAAATTAGGAGTTTGGGATTAACATATACACACTACCATAAATAAAACAGATAAACAACAAGGACCTACTGTATGGCACAGGGAACCATACTTAGTATTTTTTAACAACTTATAAATGAAGAGAATCTGAAAAATAATCACTTTTCTGTACATCTGAAACACAACACTATAAATCAACTATAGCTCAATTAAAAAAAGTCTATCAACGACTAAATATTTTACTGAAATGTCTCCCTTTTATAAAATAAAGAGGAAAAATTACAATTCTAATACTAATAAATAAAAAAATAATTGTAATAAATTACAATTCTAATACTACCAATAATAACAAGTTTAACACAAATGAAACAACGACAAATATATGTAACACTACTGAGCTTTATCTGATGCTCAGCAGGCGAAGTTATCTGTGCTGTGAATTTCAGAAAAAATGTTGAAAGACATATTTAAAATGCTGGTAAGCACATGCTTAGTATAAAAATGTAAGTTTTCATGTTAGTAGCATTTCTCTCTTCAAAGTGCAAAGGAACCAAAATGGGTAAAATCAAGTGTATTGTGCTGTGGCAACTGCCTTTTCAATAAATGAACATGGCTTTTTAAAGACAGTGTTTCACAACTGGGAGGTGGAGAGGCATTATGAGAGAGAACGTGACTACTTTTCCTTTTGCCAACAATCCTTTCCTTCCCCAAAGGTGGCCATTCATATTTCTACGAGAAAATACCCATGCACATAAGAAAGATTTTTACTTAATAATTCTGATAGACACTCAACCAAACTACAATTCTAAGATGTTCATTTCGTATTTAAATTGCTGGAAAAATTTATTTCCCATTAGCCCTCCTTTAAGAGCAGGCTCTGACAGCTAAGTGATAGGGAAGGCGTGATCAGACCAGGACCCATTTTTTGAAAAAACAGGAGGGATAAGAAGGGAAGAAGAGGCTTTCCTGGTGGCTCAGATGGCAAAGCATCTGCCCGCCATGCAGGAGACCTTGTTCTATCCGTGGGTCAGGAAGATCCCCTGGAGAAGAAAACGGCAACCCACTCCAGTACTCTTGCTTGGAAAATCCCATGGATAGAGAAGTTCATGGGGTCTCAAATAATCGGACACGACTGAGTGGCTAACACACACAAGGCAAGAAAGAGAAGAAAAAAAAAACAAAAAAACAGGGAATATCCTTTAGGGCAGTGGTTCTCCAAATTCAGGTTCGAGAATCACTGCCTTAAGGCATTCTATCACTTTACAGGATTGAGGGGTCTGTTAGGAAACTTTTAAGCTTTCCTATACACTAACAATGAGAAAACAGAAAGAGAAATTAAGAAATAATTCTTTAAATATACCTGTTCAGTACAATTTGAGGGAAAGATTTTTACATAGTCAATTGTATGCTAAAATTCAAATGGAGATTCTAAGTTTTGCTTGACCTGTTCTTTGTTTCCTGTATGGTTAACCTACTTCTTGAGATAAAAAAAAACAAACAACTAAGTGGAAATAAGGTTATAGGCCAGCAGGTTGGTACACACGCTGCTTGCCTTTTCACGGTGGCATAGATCTTGGGTCAGTTCTCATCTTTTCAAGACCAAGCACCCAATTTTATCACTTCAGCCAGAAATAAAGAGGCCCTGGGAAAATGAAACATAAGGGGCTGACAACTCCTATGACAACTTTTAAATTTATTATGAGAAATATAATTGCTAAGAAGACTAGAAGATTCAGATCTACAGGACCAGCTACACAGAAAATCAAATCACTATCAGCTGACTGAAGGGCAGAGCTAGGTGCTCCCGTTTGCAAGTGAGAAATAAGTCCAAAAGGCGGAGGCACCCAGGTCAGCGGCAGGATTCTGGTCTTCAAATTCATACCTGGGCCGATCTTGTCCGCATTTCGCCTGGCCCACTAGTCCTCCATTTGGAAAAGGCCTCAGGCATGCTACAAAAATGACTAAAACATTCCTCTGTCTTACCACACTTAGGAGAAACCCAGGGCCTTAATTACCTAGCTCATCAACAGGTATTTACCCAAACACTTATGTACCAGGTTCTATCTAAACACTGGGAATAGAAAAATACCAAGATAATTCCACCATTCCAAAAATTTAGCCTAGGAGAGAGGGAGGAATTGGACACAAGCAGGTGATTATAAGACACTGCGGTAAATGAAATAACATAGCAATGCGCAAAGTACCATGGGCAGCTACCAGGGGCTACACTTAGAATGGCGGGACTCCGGAAGGCTTTTCCACGGAGCCTGTTTCCTCTGCATGGCGGGAGGAAGACCAGGAAAGATGCAGTTCAATCACAAACCATAGTAAATGGCTGCCCTAATACACTTAATAGTGACAACATTAGCTTCTATTTTATAAAACGAAAAGTTTTGACTTTAACCCAAATTCTGTGCTCTTTAAAGTGAGGCACTAAAAATAAATAAATAAAGTGAGGCACTAAATCTGGGCAGTTTCAAATCAAATTGGGTAGAAATAGATATCTAAATAGGTGGAAAAGCCAAATTACGGGTAGCTTAAAACTTTTGTTTAAATTACTTTTGACAGAAACAATGTTTGCCACATAGAGGTCCTAGTACCGATCTTTAGTCAGGTGGCATAATTTTTTTTGAAAGTCATTTACTTTAACAGGGTTAATATCTTTAGGTTTACTCTCATTTAAACTGTGGCTTTCCTTAGTAACTATCTTCTACAGTTTTAAAAAGTAGTATGTTCTATCAAGGAGAGATAAAAGCAGGCAATTTTTCATTGCTCTTCAGTTTAATACTTCTTAGGGAAGGGAAAAAGCAAAGAAAAGGCAAAAGCAGGAAGCCTTTTAGATAAATTAATAAATTGTAGCAAAATATCTAGGTTTTTAAAGCTTTCCTTTCGTATATCTTATGCTCTGAGATTTGAATCATAACATTTTTCTATGATAAGTCAAAGACCGGGGAAATACGATAGCGGAAACAACATCTAAATCGTCTCAAGTTTTCTCATTTCAAACAAGTTAAAAGAGACGCGACGCGAGTACGCGGGCCGCTGGCACCGCCCGAGTTTTAGCACGCCGGGCTAAGGTGACTGTGACTGCTGCTCTGCCCGCACTCCCCCTCCGCCGCACCCCCCGCCCCGCTTCTGCTCGGAGCAGCCCGAAGGTACACACGGAGTCCCTTCGGTCCTGCAGCTTACAGCTCCGCCAAGTCTCCTCCGCGGGGGCTTGCTCTGACCTGCTCCACTTCCCACGAGGTACCCGGTGCAAGGACGGGCGCTGCTCCCGCAGGACTGTGTGGGACGCGCTGGGCCACGCGGGGGCGCATGCGCGCTAGCCCGGCCAACGAGCTCGCGCCGCTCCCGCCTGCTCTCGCCGCACCTGACGACTGGCGCTGACAGGATCCTACCCCCGAGGCTCTGTGAACCCCCAGCCCTGAAATCTCATCTGGGCGCGTACTGCTCTGCCAGTCCGTCAGCCCCGGCGCCGAGGCTCGCTCGAGAGGAGCCGGGGCTCCGGGATAGGCCGCTGGTCGCGCTCTCATTGGCTGAAGCGCGCCAGGCCTTCCTCTCTGGGGCGCCTGCGCGCAGCCCGGGACGCGGGTTAAAATCCTAGCGGTTCTCAGCCCCGTGGTGACGTCGGCGACCCGGTGATCGCTTGCCTGCCCGCAGCGTAGAAGCCCCCCGTTCCTCCGTTTTCTTACCTCCTGGCCTGGAGGGGGCCCTGCGCACTCAACGGAAAGCTTTAGGAGGCGCGAATGAGCGCTAACGGATATGAAGGACTAGGTGGTAGGGAGCTGGAAGGTGACTGGGCGGCAGGTAGCCAGGCTTGGCCCGAGGGTCGCCGGAGAGGGCAAGGAGGGACGGGCGACCGAGCGCGCGCATGCGCCGGCTCTGCTCTCCGCCCCGGCCCGGGTCCCCTCCACCTTCGGGGGGAGGAGGCTGGCTTAGCGGATCAGCCTGCAGAGTGCGCGGGTCTGTCGCCTTAGGACGGCTCTCACTTGACAGCTCCGGATTTAAAGGTCTTACTGAGTGTCCTTTGACTTCCTTTACACAAATACCAATGAAAACGATTTATTGTCTCCGATTTGCATTTTGACTTTGGCCCCTTCGGTATCTAGATGTTTCGAAACCTTGAGCATTCTCCACCATCAGTTTGGGGTTTTTACTGTTAGCTGTATTTCGCTTCTATGGCTTTGGTTATTCCCATAAACTGCCACAGATGAAATAAAGCAAATACTATAACCGTTCTCCTCTTTCTCCTATCTTTGGTACTGTTGACCGACGTGGGGGGAAAAAACAAAAACCCAAGACCTCCCTTTGTTTCAGCCCTAAGGGTTCCTGACTACTCATTCGTTAGAAACAATCTGGTCAACTTGTGGTCCATTCCATCCAATCCCATTTTCCCTAAAAGCTTAATTTACCATCTTCTGCATCTTCATCCTTTCAAATCCAACCCTGCCACCAGCATCGAAATGGCTTTATATTTCTTTCTTTTCTTTGGGTTTTAGTTACCAGCTATAGAAAAAACAAGTTTCTAACTGTCCATTTATTGTTCTTCACTTGTCCTCAAAAGCACTTCAAACTGATGGTAGTAATCTCCAAACCCAATTTATTTCCTAGGTGCTGAATTTCAGTGATGACAATCAGTCACCCAGTTTGTTCATATTGGAAAACTGGGCCTCTTTCTGGACATCTTCTGCCTCACTTCCCATATACCATTCAGGAGGGTATTCCTTCTACATTTTATCATAGGTAAGGCATTTTGCTAAGTGCTAGGTTTTAGCTTTTTTAGTCTTGTGAGGTTATAGGCTTATGCCAGTAATGTTGCCATTACGTATTCTGGGAACTCCTTTAAGAAATACATTCAGTCCCCCTAGTCACCACTTATTCTTTTTAAATCAGTCCCCTTACTCAGACGTTTCTCTAAATGATTTAAATTATGGTCTGAAGTATCAAACCAAGGACTGAGGATGACTACCTTGGAGAAGGACTGCTGCAGATTCTGCAGATGGCTTCAGAAAAGGAGTTTAAACTTCCTAAGGTAGTTTGAAAGTTCCAGTTCTTGTTTGGATATTTAAGTTCTGGCATATTTGTTTAAAATACTGTTGTCTTTAGTCATACCTAAGGTACATGAATTACAAATCTTCAAGAAACAGTATTTTAAGATACATTGAAGGAAAATTTAAGAGAATAACATTTTTGGTATAACTCAGAAGGTATTCCTGAATTTTCGTGTTTGAGTCATTTTCCAGCATTATTTTACTACTCTAGAGTGTAGAACAGGCTTTAGACACTGGACTGAGCGTTCATCAAATTTACTTCAGACCCCTAATGGTTGTTCTGAAAGCTCCAGACACCTGCTTGCATACTTTCTCCTTTATGTCTCCCTCTTATTAAATGCTGCACAATACTCATTTTGTAATTTTTCATTTCTTAGATTTTAGAACAAATTGAGATTCACCATTCTTGAGTTTACCTAAAGAGAAGTCAAGAAGTAATTTCAAAAATCATTTGCAGTATGGGAAAACTTCTAAATTGCATACATCAATCAAAATTTTTAATGTTTGAAAACTACTGACATACTATACGTCAATAAAGAGCAAAAGCTGAATATAGTGAAAACTATATATTTTTATTGCCTTTTATTTTCAACAATGATTACTTGAACTTAAAAAAAAAAAGCCTTTATAACTAACGGTTATTGAAAAGCCAAACCTTTCCGGCCCACTTCATATTCTCTTTCAACCATTTCAGGGCAGAACAGTGTTCCAAACTATAAACCTGTTCCTTATTAACATTGACGGTCATGTGCTTAATGAAAAGCTTTGGATCTGATATACGAGCAGCCATAATTAATCTTTCCACTGCAGCTTGATAATCATCTTTGCTCCGAGATTTGTTTTCTTCACATCTACAAAGTGAACACCTCACAAAGTCAGAAACTCTAAAAGGAAGCTATATAGTTTCTTTAAAAGATAGTAATTTACATGTATTAATTTTAAGCTATGGCAGTCTTTTACTATATTCTATCAGTGGCTTTCATACTTGTTTGACTATGAGGCACGGTAATTAAGACACTTTATATTGTGACCCAGTATATACCTGCTACATAAAAACTGAAATAAAAGTTTCACAGAACGAGACTTACCCTTATGACATTATATTCTATTCTGGTTTATTTTTCAAAATAAAATAGTTGCAACCCCCTAAATTGATTTCACTACCCAAACAGGCTACAACCTGCAGTCTGGAAACAATGATCTAAAACACAACTTATTACCTCTCTGTCATTAATAACTGTATAATTAACTATTATAATGCATAAAGTAATATTAAATTTAATCAAGTTTGGAGATACTAACATTCCATGTTTTACCTTGATACAACTATTTTTAATTGTAAGTATATACTTAATATGAAGCTCACATCTGGTAACAGAAACAGTTGCTGTATGCCTTTACTCAATTTCCAGTTATTTTCTTCAATCCTGATTTAAGGTATTTCACTAAAGTGCTATAATTTACTTTTTTTTTTTGGAATTTACTTTTAAACTAACTTTTCTACCAGTCTCCAAATTTCAAAAAACTCATACATTACAGCTTTTGTCCTGTGGGATAGGGAGTAAGCAGTATATAGAATAGAGATGTAGCTGTTATTAGGCATCACTTTTTCCTCTGTGTTCACTGAATCCTGCCCTGGGCACAAAGAAGGTCCAGCAGCAAAGCCCAAGCGTAAGTGTACCTGCATTAGCACCAAGTGTGATTCACAGAGTGGGGGGAGTGAGCACTTCCACTTGGAACAGGAATCAGTGATCACAGGGAGCAAAGATTGGTCAGGCCGCCTCTAGTACATTCTAGCTTAGGATTAGTGTCTCAAATATGGGCATATGCCAACTACATGCAGTTTTTGACAGTCTGAAAATGAATTAAATTCTCTCTTAGAGGTTAATGTAACAAAGCAGGGCTCAGTATGATAATAATAATAGAGAAAACAATATTGGTTTGGACAAAATAGAGGCTCTAGGCATGTAACGAGTTATGAACTGGTGTCACAAATACTGCTTCCCCTACATTCAATAATGAATAGAGACTGCATATGTGTGGGGAATGGAAAGTTATGAGAAAACCAAACCCTCATTAGGATAATGGGGAATGCAAATAACTCATGCTACTGTAGTGCACAGTCATAAATACAAGGCCCTCAGAAAAAAGCTCTAGCAAAAAAACTAAGTTTAGTGAATTTAAAATGTTTCAGGCCTCCTGCATTTCTGGACATTTTGACAGCAGAGACTGATTATTCCCTTGTTCCAGATTTTAAAGATGTTTACTACAGTGAACAACTTTCAAAGTTGTTCTCAAAGATAACAAAGATAGCTTCTCTTTCGAGAGCCAAAGACAGGTTTGCTTACAGCCTTACAAGGTGGAGACAGCCTTTCTACCTGAAGAGCAAAGAGGCAGGCATGCTGATAATCCATTATAAAAGACCTGGGATCCTAAGTTCAGAATTCCTCTCCTGTAATGGAACTCACTTCATGTACAGGTATCCACCAGGATTTGAGTGTGGGACTTGGGAGCAAGAGGAAGAGATGCAAATATGCAGATAATCCTGCTGCTTGCTGTGCCATGAGTGATCAAGTCCTGTCTCCAACCCACAAGTCTTGAGTCTTATGCCAGGACCCATGAACTGCGGCAGGCTCACTGATGGCCTGCAAATAGGTGAAATGTCAGAGCCTTCACAGATCCGGTCACAAAGGTCAAAAGGGGCACTATAGCTTCCTCCTTGTTTTCTCCTGGACCACTCACTCTGAGAGAAGTTGGCTGTCGGGCCATGAAGACACTTGAGGAACTTATGGCGGGGCCGTGTGGTGAGGAGCTGAGGCTTCCTGCTGACAGGCATGAGTTAGCCAGCTTGGAGAAGGATCCTCCCGCCCCAGTGAAGCCATCAGGTGAGAGACTGCAGGTCCTGACCACATCCCGACTCCAGGATGTGAGAGACTCTGAGCCAGAACCATCTGGCTAAGGTCCCCCAACATTCCTGACCCACAGGAACTAAGATAATTTTTGCCGTTTTAAGCCACTAAGTTTTGGGATAACATGCACTGTTAAGAGATAGCTAACAGAACATTCAGTCTGAAGATCTGGTTTCTAATACCAGTAAACTGAAGTAAAATTCTTGTTAAGATACTCTCAAACAGGAGCCCTGTGAGACCCTTATCTTACAAGTTTCCTGGATAAAGCTGACAAGAAATTGGAATGGTACACAACTACATGCTGGGACTTTGAACAAAATGATCGGAAAGGATGCCACACTGGCCCAACAGCCACACAGTAACAACATGCACTTCTTACCACATTTTAAAATATCGAAACTAGGCTGATGGCTTTATTTTCAACAGGATTCTTCACTGAATCTAATAAATGATCATGTATTTCCCTTTTAGACCTGGTTCTTACATCTTTTGTGTTGACCAAAAAAATAAATAAATAAAACTTTCAGGTACCTACCTGAAAACCACCAGTAAATGAGAAAGGTCCGTATCTAAAGAAGACCCATCTCTTTGGATATCTAATAAGATCTTTGAAACTGTCAAAGTGTTTATTGAAAGGTACTAACTTGTTTAGTTTTAAATCTCAAATAGGTCAAATCCTTTCTCAACGTGTTACCAAAGTTTGCCAATACACACAAGCACAAGTATATAAATATATATATCTATGCAAATGCTTTACATATATACTACACAAATAGATAAAACATTTACATTCTAGGGCAGGTGTAGGGAGTCATGACTTACTGTCAGGATGCAACTAGAAATATTTCAACCAACCTTTTTAAAACTATCTGCAGTATTTGTGTAGAAGTTCCAGGACTCTGAATACTACTAGCATTAGATACCAGGAAGATTTCAATAGCTAAAAGCATTTCAATTTCAGACAAATAGGATGGAATCAGTAGAAGTTTTCGGTACAAATTTCCCTCCAATGGTGGGTAGCAACCCAGTGAAAGAGCACCTGAAAAGTAATAGATCAAACTTACTAAAACTCCAACAGATGAAAACATAGGCTTCCAAAATATCTATAGGTGATAATTATTTTTATTTCAGAATAATTCTTCACATTAGAGGCAGATTTATTGCATTAAATTATATGGTAGTGAGCTTATCCTAGTACATTTGAGATCATTCTTTGTAAAATGTTTTTGAAACATTAAGTATGAAGAGAGAAATTTTCAAAACTGCCCACTTACTTTAAGCCATAGTCAATACAACATAAAATATTTCCACTAGATGTGATTATAAGGCACTGAAAGTCTTTTCAAGTGTTTGCTAACCTGTGTGTGAAGATAAATTCAAAGACAGTTCCATTGATATTTTAAATGTCAACAGTGTTGGGAAATTTGATGCTCTGAAGATTGATCAGTGACTATAAATTACTAATTTCATTTTCTAACTCAGGTACATTAGAAAAAAAAACAACAAAAACACTCTTTATAACCTCACTTGTATAAATCCCTAAAGCTTCACTGCATATGAAAATCAGGCACAGATGTGTTTACATAAGAGGAAAAGTACTAATAAGAAAGGTACTGAATTGTACTCAGGCATTAATTGCTTTAACACATTGCTTAAAAAAATGTCTTTAAAAATAAATTATTACAAAGTAATTAGCCTCCAACTAAAAAAAAAAAAAAAAAAACATAAACACAATATTGCTTTCACACTGAAAAGCCTTAAGGGTGATTCTTTAATGACCACTGTTCAATTTAATAATTATTTTATAAATATTGTATTTTATTCACATTTCTTCACATATATAGCATTTAGTTTATCCCTTTGCATCAGAATAAAATCATAGACCACAAAAAAAAAAAAAAAAATTATTACCAGGGTTGAAAGAATCTGGGGGGGTGGGGGGTGAATCAATGCATATGGGGCTTCTTTTTGGCTTGATAAAAATGTTCTAAAATTGTGGTGATGGTTGCACAATTCTGTAAATACACTAAAATCACTGAATTGTACATGTTTAAATGGGTGAACTGTGTGATATTTGAATTTTATCTTAATAAAGCTATAAATTAAAATTTTTTAATGGTTAAGTTTATCTGTTATAATACAAAATTTCATCTTCAGCTAAAAAACATAAAGATCATAGAAATCTCAGTTAAATATTTCCAAGTTAATAATTTGTTTCTGTGGCATATATAAATGCCTTCTGATGGCATTTTCCCCAAATCAAACAGTTATTTGGAAAACAAGTAATCTCATTAACATCAATTCTAAAAACTAAAATCAAGCAGTTATAGCAAATAGTTACTTATATACTTTGTGGTGTGATTTCTAGCAGTCTGCAGAGAGTATGAGGAGTTGAAACAACCACAAAACTGAAATGAGGTGTTATGAACAAACAGTTCCACCTTGCCTCTAGATTTCTGATCATCCTTTTAAAAAAATTCAGTTTTGAAAACTTTTTATTGTAACTGGCAATAAGAAATACATCTTACATAATGACCTACCACACATATAAGAATATTAAATAATACATAATCTTATTATCTGCAATGCATACTAATATTTTCTTGCACATCTCACTGGGGAAATAAAAGTTACCACTTGCTAAACTGATCCCAGCTGGCAACTTGAGAAACACCTCCAGTTCTGAGAGGTTTCTGTTGGCACTGATGGGGTGGCTGGGATGTTTGCCACATATGGCACAATGGTGACAGAGTAGGTACTCAACTGATTGTTATCCAGATGGTAGTGGTAGAATTAAAATTTATGACAAATCACTGCATGAAGGCAGAAAAGAATTCTTTTGTAGATCACACAACTGTTTTCTAATTAAAATACCTGTGAGGAGGTTGGGACTAGAGGAAGTATTCCTTTTCTAGGCTTACTTGTTAAAAAAGAACAACTGTTAACAGATGAACAAAGTTCTATTACTGAGAGCCATGTGAAAACCCATTACATATCATATTGCACAGTAATGATTGCCTCTGTACTTCCTGTGTGCCTGTTATAAAATATTCTAACCAAAAATGTCAGAGATAAGCACACATTTCTGAAACTTCATTTTATGAAGTGTTTTACTCCTATATATTTATAAAATATGCCAAACTGGTTCAAATTCTATCATTTATTTCCTTTTCATATCCTCCAGTGGACATGCCAATATGCAAAGAAATAAAAATATAGTAATTAGAAATAAGAGACATAACAGGTTTCAAAAAAGCACAAATCTGTGTAGACCACTGTTTTTAAACATGTATAAACTGATCTTTTTATATATTTAATGTCACATTGTGAATATTATACATAGATGTCAGGTTAGAAAATCAAATTCAAAACCAATATATCAAAATTAAAGTTTAAAATGTAACTTACTTTTGTAGTGGGTTCTGGCTTTGAGCCATAAACAACTCCTTCCTAAAGAAGTAATTAATCTTCTAAGAAAGGAAAAATCAACAGGGATTCTCTTTGAAATCATGAATTCTGCTACAGAGGATGACATACCAAGGCTGTTGCTTTCTATACAGGCATCTAGAAGTTTATTAAAAAGTAGGCTATACTGTGAGACCTCCACAGTTTCTGAAAAGAAAAAATAATTGATAAAATGAAACTGATCTAGTTTCATCTCTCAAACTTCTGTTTTACTCCTTCCATTTCCCCTCTATTCTCTTTGGCCCATTCCTACCCACTGTAGGAGACACAGTCACCAAAATGCAATCATCTTATACACTAAATTAACCAAAAAAAAGCATTCAACAAAAGCAAAATGGTGTGTCCACTTTGTAATGGAGAATGTGAAAGAAATGTGACCGTAGAGGCTACATTAACAACCCTGTCCATGGTTTCCCATGTGACTGCATCTGCACGGTTCTGTCTGCATTCTATCTAAAGAGTGGACCTCAGACTTATATCTCCTGTTACTAAAAATAAAACCACTTACAAATATTCACTCTCAAATTAAAAAAACCAAAACCCTCCTTTCTTGGGTATGCCTACTCCTTTCTGCCTTTCATTCAGAAGAAAAGTGAAGTCACCTTGGAGACTTCCAACTCTTTTATTTGCTATATTCAATTAGGTGGGTCTATGACCTAGACTCTAGGTCTTTAATGGGCTTCTCTTGTGGCTTAGCTGGTAAAGAATCCCCCTGCAATGCAGGAGACCTGGGTTCAGTCCTTGGGTTGGAAGACCCCTGGAGAAGGGTAAGGCTACCCACTCCAGTATTTTGGCCTAGAGAATTCCATGGACTGTATAGTGCATTGGGTCACAAAGAGTTGGACATGACTGAGCGACTTTCACTTTCTAGGTCTTTATCACTTCAGGATTTTTCAGTGGTCCAGGACTTATCAGGAAATTTATCTTCTTACCTTACAGCAGAGGAACTTTCCTAAAATACCAACTTCATTATGTCACTCCCTGACCCCAAAACGCAGGTGATCCCCAACTACATATAGAAAAGTAAATTCTTTTAGCCTGCCATTCAGGGTCTTCCAAAATCTGGCACAACTATCTGATCAATCTCACTATTATTACTTTGTCTCATTATTAAGATAATTGTATATCAAAAGCTAGTTCTACAGCAACCATTGTACCAGAGATACTAAAATAAAGAAAACCTCATTGACTTTAAGAAGTTTACTATCTACAGGGAGAAAAGGATAAGAATGTTAATGACAATATAGAATCTCAGTGGAATACGTGGGAAAATGCAGACTGACAAAGCACTGAGGGGAGGCCTTCAAGTCAACGTTTTCATTAAACATGAACTATGCCCTGAACCCACTGCTCAGCTCATTCCTGACCCAAAGCTTCTGCAGTTTCCCTTCACATAGACTCTCTCCTGCTACTGACCTATGACCTGCAAGCATTCAGCACTACCTGCCACTGCCCACATGGGCATCTCTCTCTTTGAACTTGTCATCTGCTTAACTTCCTCCATTTATTCCATGTTTTTCTATGTTCCAATGCAGACTAAGTTCCATCTTTGTTACGTGATTAATTTACTTGTTTGCTGATGACTTGACAGAGGAAGAAAAAGGGGAATGATGAAATGCTGCTTTCAGGAACTGCTGACAGACAACCCAAAGATAAGCATTTCTGTTTTTTTTTTTTTTTTAAACCATCAGGAAAGCATATTCAATTTGCAGAGAACACATTTTACAAAAACCAACATCATTAAAAATACATGCTGGAATATAAAATTCAACCAAGACAGGTGGAGAACTGTTTCTTATTAAATACCAGATGGGCCAGAGATAATTAAGCTAGACTTTGAAAAAACATACCTTGAGAATTTTGAAAACCTGGTAGATTTTGCAAAACTTCAAATGTCTGTCTGTAAAGACTCTTCGCTAAGATTTCATGTGCAATCGTACAGAGCAGATTATGCCGATTGAGCACATCCAGTCGATCACAAGGCCATACTGGTGTACTGATGATCCACTCGGACTCTTACAAGAAGGAAAAGTATAAGTACTTTACACCATGAAAACTGCTTAACAGTATAATCACAACTAATGTTTTTAAATATCTTTTGGAGAAAGTGGCAAAACTTACTAATTCTTCATTTTTCTAAACGTACTAATCAGTTATTGATTCTGAAGTTAATGATTATTTTTATATGATGTTTCAGATTATAATGTATATGTTATACTGTAAAATATTATTTGTGTGGACAAATTGAACAATTTTACAGTAAAGAATACATAATTAGTTTTGGTATTCCTGAGGAACAGCTTTTCCCCACAATATCTGCCTATTTAAAATTTTTTAAATAAAATATTTGCTATGTACAAGTTAACATCTAACATATATAGATAACAAAGCATAATAATAAAAAGAACACTTAGGTACCCAACACATAGCTTAAAAAAAAAAGAAAGAGTATTACCTACACTGAAGTTAATTAATTTCTGCCAATTTTCACATTGAGAAAAACAATAGCAGACTGTAGTACAGAACACCAAGGTGCTAACACGGTAGAAATGTCAGAATTTTACTATTTACCTATTTCCCTCAATCACTATACACACGATGGGACACATAATGAAATGCTGTTATGTAACATTCAAATCACATTTCTGCATTCTTTTTCAATTGGACTAACAGCAGGAGTTATGCTTTTGTGGCCAGCACGGTAAATACAGAAAGTATTACAGAAAGATTTGGTAATTCAAGTATACAATGCCGAAATAAAGCCTTAAGTATGGAGAATAAAACTTTAAAACAGGTGCTTGTTTTAAAATTACTAGAGCCCACTTGACTGGCAGACTTGATTTATACTACCTATGAGGCAACATTTTACAAATATCAGTGCTCTCAATTACTAACTCATTTACACAGATATCTTCATTAACCTACTCCTAAAGTGATTAAATCAATAATGAAGAGAAATACTGAGGGACTAAGAACATGAACTAGTAATTCACAAAAGAGTAAGTACAAATGGAAACAAAAAGAAAAATAGTGAAATTCTGTAATAAGCAATTAAATGCAAAACAAAGCAGTGAATATCACTCTTATTCTATCAAACTAGCAAAGAGATAGGAAAAATAATAATATTCAAAGGTGGCAAGGTTGTTTCATAATAAACAACTTCAAATGCTGGTAAGATGACTATAATTAGCACATTTGTAAAGGTCTAGAGTGCTTCTGAATTCTACTCACAGATTTAAAACCGAGACTGGAATTTCCAGATTAGGGTTTACCTAAACTAAAGTGCACCAGTTTGTCTGATAACTAAAAACCATGGAATTGGGCAGTAACATCTGTATTGTTAATATATACCCATGGCCCTGACAGGACAGGCTGTATAGATGGTACCTACGCAATAGTTTTCCAGGGATTTTCTACAAGGGGAAGCTTTCTAATAAACTCAAAATAATTTATTGCAAATCTGATGGCACCAAGGGCAAATATGCCAATATTTACCAAAAAGCTTTAAACTACCCTTACCTTTGCCCAGCAATTCCATCAGAATTTATCCTAAGGGCATAATAAAGATTTAGCAGGGATGTTTAGAAGGGATTATTGTTTATCATCAGTTCAGTTGTGTCCTACTCTTTGCGACCCCATGAATCGCAGCATGCCAGGCCTCCCTGTCCATCACCAACTTCCAGAGTCTACTCAAACTCATGTCCATCGAGTTGGTGATGCCATCCAGCCATCTCATCCTCTGTCGTCCCCTTCTCCTCCTGTCCCCAGTCCCTCCCAGCATCAGGGTCTTTTCCAATGAGTCAACTCTTTGCATGAGGTGGCCAAAGTACTGGAGTTTCAGCTTCAGCATCAGTCCTTCCAATGAATACCCAGGACTGATCTCCTTTAGGAGGGACTGGCTGGATCTCCTTGCAGACCAAGGAACTCTCAAGAGTCTTTTCCAACACCACAGTTCGAAAGCATCAATTTTTCAGCGATCAGCTTTCTTCACAGTCCAACTCTCACATCCATACATGACCACTGGAAAAACCACAGCCTTGACTAGACTGACCTTTGTTGGCAAAGTAATGTCTCTGCTTTTTAATATGCTATCTAGGTTGGTCATAACTTTCCTTCCAAGGAGTAAGCGTCTTTTAATTTCATGGCTGCAATCACCATATGCAGTGATTTTGGAGCCCCCCAAAATAAAGTCTGACACTGTTTCCCCATCTATTTCCCATGAAGTGATGGGACCAGATGCCATGATCTTAGTTTTCTGAATGTTGAGCTTTAAG